AATTATTGAATCTCTTCATACACAGGCAAAAATAAGTGTGCCACTTAACATGCTGGAACTTGCCTAACTTAATCATTGCCTAGAGAAGGGAAGATTATCCCCAGAACGTGTTTAACCAGGAGGCCAATGCATCTGCCGACCTGGAGATGAACGTGATAGACAGACTGTCCACCATCTGAACCTTCATTCACTACCATTCGGTAACCCTTATTCAGGCCCAGATCTGCAGCACATTTCTTGCCAACAATCATTAAGTGTCCAAGAAGACTTTCATCATCATCTTCTGCTGCAGAAATCTGGGATATATGTTTCTTGGGTATCACCAGAAAATGTGTTGGTGCTTGAGGAGAAATGTCGTGGAAAGCAAGGCACCGGTCATCCTCAAAAATGATTTTGGCTGGGATTTCCTTGCGGATGATCTCGAAGATCGTGTCGCCACCAGGCCGAGCGACCTGAGCCTTGGCGATCTCATCTGCCATCTCTGCCTCTCTCCCGCGCGGCGGCCAAGGGAGAGGCTCGGAAGGAGGGAGGACTGAAATACTTTCATATCATTCCTTCAAATGGCTATACATTTTCCTAGCCAATTCTAGGAAGAACTGACCCCCTAGCATCCGGCATGGGCCCAGAACACAATGTGTACTGTACTAACTGCCCCCCGTCCCAGTTCTCCAGACAGGACACTAAGTTCCTGCCAGCATCTGCAGCCCGTCTCCTGCAGCCCCAACTTAGTGCCAATCAGAGGAGGGCCTCACACCTGCCCCACCCCGCCCTTCCCCGGACCGCGCCTCGCAACTAAAGCGCCGCCCTAGCGCTGTGGTTGGACGGAAGCGACGCGGCGCCCTCCCGCCGGCTGGCCGGCCGCTGCGCAGGCTCCTTCCTGCGCCCTGCTCTCCCCGGTCCCGCCTCCGCGGCTACCGCCCGTGAGCTGTTGGGATTTGAATTTGCCGCGGGTTGCGGCCGGAAATATCGATCCCTCAGGCAGGCATGGAGATCCTCTGCTCCGGCGCGCGGTGCCCGGTGCAAGAGCAACGTACCCGCTGGGAGCGGAAACGCGCCTGCACTGCCCGGGAGCTACTAGAGACCGAACGGCGCTACCAAGAACAGCTGGGGCTGGTGGCCACGGTGGGAGACCTGGTGTACATTCCCATTATGGGACAGGGATCCCAGGGTGTGGGAGGGTCTCTGCGAGGTCGGTAATCCGGAGTAGGGTGGTCTTGGACTATCCCTCTGCATGTAGGGAGCTTGGGCAGACTTCTGTGGTTTCTGGGGGCGCCTGGCGTTAGCCTCCTCTTCCTCCAGGCTAGGATACCAGTATTCTCTCCTTCCGCAGTACTTTTTGCGGATCCTGAAAGCCAAGGGGACCCTGCGACCACCTGAGCGCCAGGCCCTGTTTGGATCTTGGGAGCTCATTTACGGCGCCAGCCAGTGAGTGGAAGGGGCTAGGGGAGAGGAATGGAGGGAGAACACTGGCCTGTGGCCGTGCACAGAGCTTGGAGTCAGATTCAGGTTCTATTCGGAGTCGCCGGTTACCTCACCTGTGGCCTTGGCTCCGTGCCTTAGCCTGCCCTGGTTCTACATCTGTACAGTGGGGTCATGGCACTACTATTAGTGCTATTAATTCTCATGAAAACTAAATGAGGTGGTGCTTGAGTGGTTCTAGAGCTGCCCTTTTGCTGTCCTCACCCACACAGAGAGCTGCTTCCCTACCTGGAAGAAGGACACTGGGGCCAAGGGCTGGAGGGCTTCTGCCACCACCTGGAGCTCTATAACCAATTTGCTGCCAACTCAGAGAGATCCCAGACTACCCTGCAGGTAACCTGGAGATGACCTCAAATGTTTCCCCTCTCTTGCCACCCTTACCTTTCCCCTTCATCTGGAAACCCAAGCTTCATACATTTCCTGCATTTATAGAGCCCGCTGAGTGCCCAGCTCTGTGCCAAGATCACTGTAGGAAGACAGGGTTTCTCTCTGGAGCACACAGCTTACTGAAGACTGGGAATGTGGATACAGATGAATGCAATATAAGGAGTGGCTTCCTCTCTGCTTCCAATCCTTTCTCCCTCACTCCAGGAGCAGCTAAAGAAAAATAAAGGTTTCCGGAGGTTTGTGCGCCTTCAGGAAGGCCGCCCTGAGTTTGAGGGCCTTCAGCTCCAAGACCTGCTGTCTCTGCCTCTTCAGCGGCTCCAGCAGTGAGTGAACTTCCCTTGATTCCAGCTGCCTCTCTGAGTCTGTATGACTCCTGCCCTCAGCTTTGTGGGATGCCTTGGGGTCTATCCCAAACTCCTGCCTCTTCCCTGGGGCAAACTGCTTCTAAAAACCTTTTGCAAGAGTAAATGTGAGCCCACTGGAGCACCCAGGGTTTGTAGCTTGAAGCCCTTAGCTGGAACGGTGGAACTTTACATTAAAGTGAGGGGGCCTGTACTAGGGCCTGAGGCACGTTTTGTGGAAAAGTTTCGGAGATGGGCAGGCCTGGCTTAGAATTTCTGTCCCTGGGTTAAGCCTGAGTTACAGGCTATAGCCAGGCTGTCTGTAGCATCCTCCTTGGGTTGATAAACTTTCATCTTCCAATCTGGCCTCCTGAACTATGGTTAGTCTGCCATTGACTCTTCAGTGTGGGATGGAAGAGGGCTGCGTGGTGTGAGCCCTGGTTCTGAGTCCCAGATGAAAGAAGGGGAAACAGTAGCCAGAAGCAGATCTTTCCTGCCTTGCGATTGAAGTATGGGTAGCTGATCTGCGCATCAGGCAAGGGGAATTTTGCCTGGCTCTGCTTCCCCTCAGACTTCCCATTGTTGAATTCCAGGTATGAGAATCTCATCATTGCTTTGGCTGAAAACACAGGTCCCAACAGCCCTGACCATCAACAGCTCACACGTAGGTTCTTGCTCCTCTGCAACACAGGCTGGAGGCTTCCTCTCCTGGATCCTCTTCTGATTCTGACCTCCAACAGTGTCTGATATGACCCTCTCTTCCACTGGCATGAATACAGTGTCCCTACTGCTCTGCTTTTTCTTCAAGAAGTCATACCCTGACCCTGCTCCCTCCCAGAATAACCTCTTTCACCACCATGCCACCCAAAGTCAAAGTTACATGGGGAGTAAGGTGGGAGATGTTATTCCAGGGGCTGCCCGGCTGATAAGTGAGACTGCCCAGAGAGTCCACGCTATTGGTCAGAAACAGAAGAATGACCAGCACCTTCAGCGCGTCCAAGCTCTGCTCAGTGGACGCCAGGCAAAGGGGCTGACCTCAGGTAGCCTGCCTACTTCCCCCTCAATCCTCAACTGCCCCTTTTATTTTTATCTGACTCTTAAAATGCCAACCAGCTGCCCTTTACTTACTCACCTCCTTCCTCTATTGACCCAGCACATACTCCCTATTTTCTCGGCCTCTCTTTCCTCTTATTCCCATGAATCCCGGAGCACCAGGGTAACAGTGCTCCCATCCCCCAGGGCGCTGGTTCCTCCACCAGGGCTGGCTGTTGGTGGTGCCTCTCCATGGGGAACCTCGGCCCCGCATGTTCTTCCTCTTCACTGACGTGCTCCTCATGGCCAAGCCTCGACCTCCACTGCACCTGCTGCAGAGTGGCACCTTTGCCTGCAAGGCTCTCTACCCCATGGCCCAGTGTCAACTCCGCAGGGTCTTTGGCCACTCAGGAAGTCCTTGTGGTGGGTTGCTCAGTGTAAGTAATAGGTGGGAACCCTAGGCCCAAAATATGTCTCAGATGCTTATGGACTGGTTTATCTCCCTGGTCAGGGTCCCTTTTCATAGGAACAGAGCCATCTACGTTGAGAGAGGGTAGCTGGGGCTTGTGCTTCATACCTAGTCATTGTCTCATCCCCAAATTCCCTCCATGGAAACAGCAAGGGCTTCAGCTTTAGCCTGGACCTTTGTGAGCCATGCACTAAGACGTGGTCTCTCCCTAGCTGTCCTTCCCTCATGAGAAGCTACTGCTTATGTCCACAGACCAGGAAGAGTTGTCACGCTGGTACCACAGTCTGACTTGGGCTATCAAGTAAGTTGTGTCTTCCCCCAGGAGGGTGCTGTGATAAGGCCTACAAACAGGAAATAGGCAGTTTTTGTCATGCCCTACATTGGTCTGGCACCGCACCCCCCCCCCCCCCCGCCACCAACCCCACGGATGATTTTGTCTGAATAGAGCACTCATGCCAAGGCCTGAACTGACTGTTGTCTCTCCACAGTGGCCGGAAAAACTAGAGGAATCTTAGAGATTCCAGAACTCAGGATACCTCAGGGATAGGTCACAGCCAGGAGTACAAAGGAATCTTCTTCAGTACTGGACAAAACAGAACCCTTCATGATTTGAGAAATGTCACTTTGTGTTTGCCTGGACCAAGCTACTCCAGGTCATTTGACCCAACTCTTAAGAATCACAGCCAGATGCAGTGGCTCATGCCTGTAATCCCAGCACTTTGGGAAGCTGAGGTAGGAGGATCACTTGAGCCCAGGAGTTCAAGACTAGCGTGGGCAACACAGTGAGTTAGACCCTGCCTATATTTAAGAAAAAAATCATTAAGAAGAAATTTTGTAAAGAAAGAAGAATCAGGAAACAAGTCTGACCCAACTGAACCCCAGCTGAACCAGCCCCAAACAGAGAGGGGATCTGGGACTGATAAGCTCTGTGCTGTGTCCATGGCCAGTCATTTATCAAGGTTGCAGCTTTGTAAATGTGGCTATTTTTATGTTGTATATAGTTTCTATCATTTATTTTTCCATTGGATTTGAGTAAAGTTTTTTTTTTGGAAAGACCTTTCTGTTTCAGTTTTGCTATGAGAAAAGGGATTTTTGGGCCCTGGCATGCTGGTCGCCTCAGGAATAAAGGAAAAGAGCTGGAGCTCCCTCTATCTTCTCTGCTCTCACACTGGAAGGCAGCCTCTTTTTTTTCCTAATAAGGGCAACTTTTCAAGAAGGCCCAGTTGTCCTTAGGCACCTAGTATGGGTATGTACAACCAGCTAGGATGGAAAAAACAAACAGGAGCATCCCATCACAAAAACAGACTTTGTTTTACTCAGCCTTCAGCTGTCGTCCCTCCTTCCCTGCCAGGGCTGTGACTTGGGTCCTTTGCCATAGCCTGGCTGCACCTTCTCCGCAGGCCCTGCTCCACTTCCCGGGAAGTAGCTAGGTTCCATGTGTCTGTGCTCCAGTTTATGGGGTCCTCCCAGGCTTGAGTGTCACCAGCCTCCTCCTCATCCTCCTTTAAACAAAAGTCCTCATGAAGAGGTCTGCTGGCCTCTGTGTGGGGAGAGATTAGGAATGTTCCAGTTTTGGAGACTTTTGTCTCTACCTCCAGCAGGCTCACCTCCCAAGCCTTCACCTGGTTCTGAAGCCTCCATACCCTTGTCCGGCTTGCTCTCTTGCAGCAGCTCGTGGATGGTCTGTAGCTTCATGTTGAGAAGCTCCTGCTGGGCTCCAGCCAGAGTAGTCACACTGAAGAAACGTCCACTCAGTGGCTGCCCAACTTATGTCCCCATTCCTCCCTCCTGCCACAAATTCCCCCAAAATTCATAGAATCATTGCTCTCCTCACCACTCAAAAAGGGGGTCCAGCTGGGCCATCAGGTTGTTCAGGTGCTGCTCTGTTTGGGCCAGCTGTTGTGTCAATTGGGCCAGCTGTTGCTCTAGGAATAATGGAGAAAAGAGGGGAAGAAGTGGTTACATATCTTATGCTGTCCCCTAATCTCCCCCTACCAAGTACAGACTTCTGCTGAACCCACCTGACTGCAGTGGCTGCTGCTTGCCTGCCTCCTCGTGGAGAACTGTAGTTTCATCTTTCCCCTGTTGTGGAAGAAGGAAAGGGCAGTACTGAAGCAACAAGGTTTGGCTCCATCACCTCAGTCTCTGCAGCCAGCCAGGAGAGAGTGTAATTTGAGGTGGAGACAGTAATTGGGTCTGTACCTCAGAGAATCACAATCTGAGTCTAGCTCCTCACCTAGCACATGAAACAACATGTCCTATGTCCCACACATGGTCATTCAGTTTGCTGAAACACCTCCAGGAATGAGCAACTCTCTCCAGTTCGAAAATAGTTCTGGTGGCTTGGCATGGTGGCTTACACCTGTAATCCCAGCACTTTGGGAGGCTAAGGCAGGTAGATCACTTAAGGTCAGGAGTTTGAGACCAGCCTGGCCAACATGGTGGAACGCTGTCTCTATTAAAAATTCAAAAATTAGCCAGACATGGTGGTACGTGCCTGTAATCACAGCTACTTGGGAGGCTGAGGCAGGAGAATTGCTTGAACCTGGGAGTGAGCCGAAATCATGCCATTGCATTCCAGCCTGGGCAACAGAGCCAGACTCCATCTCAAAAGAAAAAAAAGCTCTGGTGGTTATACAGTTCATACACAAAGTCAACATTTGTCCTTCATGTATCTTCTTTCCATAGTGCTGACTGGAGCCTTCCAAAATAATGTCTTCTCAACATGACAGCCCCTCAGGAATTTGAAGACAATGGTCACACCCTCGCCCCCTTTCCTGAGTTTTTTCTAGTTTAATAACTTCAGTCTTTAGTCAGTGCTCACTGCCTGTGGTTTTCTCTGGTTATTTCCTGAACTTGTAGTGCTTTTTTTTTTTTTTTTTTTTTTAGACGGAGTTTCGCTCTTGTTACCCAGGCTGGAGTGCAATGGCGCGATCTCGGCTCACCGCAATTTCCACCTCCTGGGTTCAGGCAATTCTCCTTCCTCAGCCTCCCGAGCAGCTGGGATTACAGGCACGCACCACCGTGCCCAGCTAATTTTTTGTAATTTTAGTAGAGACGGGGTTTCACCATGTTGACCAAGATGGTCTCGATCTGTTGACCTTGTGATCCACCCGCCTCGGCCTCCCAAAGTGCTGGGATTACAGGCTTGAGTCACCGCGCCCGGCCCACTTGTAGTGCTTTTAAAGCAGTGCCCTGAGAAGAATACAATTCTCCAGGGTCGTTTTGATGGGCAGGTGAAACACAGTGCCATGTTCCCAGCCCTGATTTGGGAAGTGGGTTGTCACATCCCACAGTGAATTTCTTAGTCAACTGGAATGCCTAAGTCTCTTTCATAAGAGCTACTGCTGTTATGTTTCTTCCAGATTGTACTCAGATCCAAGAACAGAATTTACTAGTCTATCCTTCTCAAAGTTCTTCATTAAATTCAGTCATTCAACCTAGCCTGTCACATCTACCTGGGGTCATTATTAGCTGTGTCTTCCAGTTTCATACATCTAAACTGGTTCCATCGATTGTATTTTATAATGCAACCGATAATAATAGGGTTAGCGCTAAAGAAACACACAGCCCTGGAAGTTACTACTTTCCAAAATGTACTGTCAACTCACATTTCAGGGCCTCCTTCCCAAGGAGAACATGAGACCACCAGATGTCTTGAACTCTAGAAACACTGGCTGCAGCAACCAACATCCTGTGCCAGAGTTGGCCCCACTGTTGTAGCAGGGACACTGCTAGCTGGGTTCAAATCCCAGCTTCAGCAGTTGCCAGTGCTGGGTGACCTCGAGCAACTGACTACTCTTCACTGGATTGTGGGAGAACTAAATGTGATGGTCATTATTTATCTACAGTTCACTACACACCCTTGACATCCGTTACCCCCTTGGCTCCTCAAAATAACCCCATAATGTTGGAGGACCAACGGACTATTTTCTTCACTTTACACACAGGGAAGCTGTGTCTTGTTCTTGGTACCCTGGTTCCCCAATGGGAGATTCGCGCTCAGGGCACCCCCACCCCCGGCGGTCCCCACCTGCAAACACTTGTACAGCACAAAAGCCACGACGGCTGCGGTGTACAGCGCCCCCAGAGGCAGCGACCCGGCCCGAGCCCGCTCGCGCTGGTCCTTGAGCGACGGTCGCCCCCGGGGTTCTGTGGCCCCAGAGTCAAGGTGGGCTGCGTTCCCTGCGGAGGGAGGACAGAGGCGAGTCAGCCGAGCTGGGGCTTGGGACCCGTGCGCAGTCCCAGCCCTACTCCAGCAGCCCTCGCTGGTACCTGGGTGTACCCGGAGGTCGGGGCTGGCGCAGTTTCCGAGAACCCCGGGCAACGCAGACACTAGGAGCAGCCCCACCACACCCAAGATCGAGACGGCGCCCGCCATGACCAGCCCAAGGGTAGAGTAATCAGGAAGGCGGTGCGGAGGCGGTCCCGCCTTGGCCGGCAGGCCCAGTGCGCACGCGCACCGACTAGGCCCGTTTCGGGCCTTCCAGGGAGGCCACGCCCACTCCCCGTGGGGCGGGGCAAGACCATATTTGCATAAAATATTCTAGCTTTCCTCCCTTTGCTTATTTCTTATCTAGTAAGCTATTCTGCTAGCCACAATGCCTCTAGAAACCTTTCTAATGTCTTAGAAAGGTATACCCAAAAGTGGTTTGCTTTTCTATCTCACGCCACCAACTTTCTCACCCTAATCTTAAAATAAAATTCCTTTTAGGTCTATAAAAATGTAGTGTCGTAAGTTCGTTGGCATACGTCGTGCTGAAGGCCTGTATCCTAGGCTACATACTGGGGACTTGTTCCTCCCGCTTGCCTAGGGGAAAGTCCCCGGACCTCGGGCAGAGAGTGCCGCGTGCCAAGGCGCACGTAGACATTCCCCGCTTCCCACTGTAAAGCCCGCCAAGAAGCAGGTCCCGCTGAGCGGCGTGGTGCGGGGGCGTCGTCCGTCAGCTACTCTAGTTACGCAGGCAGTGCGTTTCTGCGCACCAACCACACGGGGCTCATTCTCAGCGCGGCGGTTTTTGTCCCTGAAGCAGGGTCTCACACTGCATTTATTTGTATGTAATAGGGTCTGGGTATAGCCCTGGGCCATGCTAGGCTCATGCAGTCCTTCAGGCTCCAGAGTAGCTGGCTGCCGCCATCATGCCTGGAATTTTTTATTTTTTTTATTTTTGAGGCGGAGTCTTGTACTGTCGCCCAAGCTGGAGTGCAAAGGCGAGATCTCGTCTCACTGCAATCTCCGTCTCCCGAGTTCAGACGATTGTCCTGCCTCAGCCTACGGAGTAGCTGGGATTACGGGCACACACCACTACACCCGTCTAATTTTTTTGTATTTTTAGAAGAGATAGCAGTTTCGCTATGTTGGCCAGACTGGTCTCCAACTCCTGACCTCGTGATCCGCCTGCCTCGGCCTCCCAAAGCGCTGGGATTACACTAATTTTTGTATTTTTTGTAGATACTGGTTCTCACCATATTACCCAGGCTGGTCTCGAACTCCTGGTATCAAGCGACCAGTTCGCCTCGGTCTCCCAAAGTGCTGGGATTACAGGCGTGATACCTCACCTATTCAGCGCCGCTGCTTTTTTTTTTTTTTTGAGACGGAGTTTCGCTCTTGTTACCCAGGCTGGAGTGCAATGGCGCGATCTCGACTCACCTCAACCTCCGCCTCCTGGGTTCAGGCAATTCTCCTGCCTCAGCCTCCCGAGCAGCTGGGATTACAGGCACGCGCCACCGTGCCCAGCTAATTTTTTGTAATTTTAGTAGAGACGGGGTTTCACCATGTTGACCAAGATGGTCTCGATTTGCTGACCTCGTGATCCACCCGCCTCGGCCTCCCAAAGTGCTGGGATTACAGGCTTGAGCCACCGCGCCCGGCTTTTTTTTTTTTTTTTTTGAGATGGAGTCTTGCTCTGTTGCCTAGGCTGCAGTGCAGTGGCATGATCTTAGCTCCCTGCAACCTCCACCTCCTAGGTTCAAGTGATTCTTGTGCCTCAGCCTCTCGAGCAGCTGGGATTACAGACACACACCACTATGCCATGCTAATTTTTATATTTTTAGTAGAGATGGGGTTTCACCATGTTGACCAGGCTGGTCTCAAACTCCTGACCTCAGATGATTTGCCCACCTCAGCATCCCAAAGTGCAGGGATTACAGGCATGAGTCACCACGCCAAGACCCAAATTTTTCTTGTTTTCTTTCTTTTTTGGTGGGGGCAGGGTCTCACTCTGTTGCCCAGGCTGGAGTGCAGAGGCTTGATCTTGGCTCACTGAAACCTCTACCTCCCAGGCTCAAGTAATCCTCCCACCTCAGCCTTCCGAGTAACTAGGACCACAGGCATACACCACCACATCCTGCTAATTTTTTGTATTTTTTTAAAGACAGGGTTTTGCCATGTTGCCCAGGCTGGTCTCGAACTCCTGGGCTCAAGCAATCCTCTAACGCAGCCTCCCAACATGCTGGGATTGCAGGCATGAGCCACCATGTCTAGAACAAATTTTTATTATTCAAGTGGCTCATTTAAAAAACTGCTTTAAGGCCGGACACACCACTGCACTCCAGCCTGGGTGAGTAAGCCAAGATTGCGCCAGTGCACTCCAGTCTGAGCCACAGAGTGAGGCTCCATCTCAAATAAATAAATAAATACTTTAAAAAATTTAAAAATTATTTATATGACAATTATTTTCATTGATAATTATGAAATGAATAATGAGGGCTAGAAAATAAATTCAGACAGTGAATATTTTCTTTCCTTGAACTTTGTAAATATAATCATGTCCACATAAAAACGGTTATGCATTGCTTAACAACAGGGATATATTCTGAGAAATGAGTCACTAGGCAATTTTGTCATTGTGCACACATCAGAGTGTCCTTTCACAAACCTGGATGGTGCAGCCTATTACACACCTAAGCTATATGATAGTAACCTGGTGTTCCTAGGTTCCAATGCCTACAGCATGTTACTGTACTGAATACTGTAAGCAGTTGTAACACAATGGTATTTGTGTACCTAATGCAGATACAGGATCTTTTCCTTTGTCACCCAGGCTGAAGTGCAATGGTACGATCATAGCTTCCTGCAGCCTCCAACTCCTGGGCTCAAGTGATCCTCCCACCTCAGCCTCCCGAGTAGCTAGGACTACAGGCTGTTTACTCCTATTTTTGTTTGTTTGTTTTTGGTAGAGATGGAGGGTCTCACTATATTGCCCAGACTGGTTTTGTACTCCTGGCCTCAAGCTATCTTCCTGCTGCCTTGATCTCCAAAATGCTGGTATTACAGGAAATGAGTCACTGCACCTGATCGACCACAGCAATTTAAAACTTAGATGTGGGCTGGGTGCGGCGGCTCATGTCTGTAATGCCAGCACTTTGGGAGACCAAGGTGGGAAGGTTGCTTGAGGCCATGAGTTGAGACCAGCCTGGCAACAAAGGGAGACCCCATCTCTACAAAAAATGAACAAGATTAGCTGGGTGTGGTGGCACATGCCTGTAGTCCTAGCTGCCCAGGGGGCTGAGGTGTGAGAATCACTTGAGCCCAGGAGGTTGTCAAGGCTGCAGTGAGCTGAGTTGTGCTACTGCACTCCAACCTAGGAGACTTAATAAGACTCTGTCTCTCAAAACATAAAATAAAACTTACATCTATAAAATATTTCTCAGGGAGGAGAATTTAATCACTGGGTTTTTTTCAGAATTTCTGGAACATGGTGATAAGAAGAGGACTGATTTTTATTTTTTACATTCTCTACGAACACACCCCCTTACCACCTGCAACTCAAGGGGCAGGACTTCTGCCACCCCCATTGTTGGCATGGTACTGCACTCATTTCAAACTTAAAAAGAATGTTGTATGGGCTAGACAAAAGGTATCTCTGACTTCTGGTCTCATGTTTATATTTGGAATTTAAAATCCTTCTCTTCTTCCTACATCAATAGCCTGGCATGTGATGAAGTTATCTCTAGGTATGACAGTTACCTAGAGATAACTGCCAAAACTACCCCCTGAAGTGAACATGTGCAAAGACAGGGCTCAGTTTCCCAGGACAGTCCTAGGGCAGAGAGTTTTAAAATGCAATTAATTATTGAGACTGACAGTTCTTATGGACAGTTTGGATGAAGTGGGTTGAAATAAGAGGTTTGGGGGTGTCCCTCAAATTATAATGCCCCCAACCCAATGAAACAATAACAAGAATCATCTAAACACATATCCTCTCAGATAAGCCTTAGGGTGTGATGGGATTCGAAGTACCAGGAAACTCCCCACGATCCTTCTACTTTTTACCATGCTCACTGAGGAATACATCTTTCTTCCAGGACTCAGAGTTGGGGAGGAAGGTGGGCATCCTGGAGCAGAAGGGGCATTCCTATCCTTGTTGGTCCTGCCTCATGCCACTTCTGCCCCGCCTCTCCAAGTCCCCAAGGGTTCAACTGCCCATAGCACATTACCCACAGGCCTGCTTGTCTTCTCAAGGGGGCACAGGGTGCAGGCAATGAGGGTGGGGGAAGCTCAGGAGCTGCAGGAGTGGCGCAGGTGCAGGCACAGGGCGGGGTCTTTGTTCTTTTGCTCATCCCTCCCCTCCCCCTTCCTCCCCGGAAACCAGAGACTTTGCCACCACCAGTATTGGGGATGCTGAGCTGTGGGGGCCAGGCCTGAGGAGGGGTGGGAGTGAGGAGGGCTGTGGAAGCGGGCAGGCCATGAAACAGGCTGACCCTCGGCTCAGAGCAGTGTGCTTGTGGACTCACATCAGCAGCCATGAGCAGAAGTGACAACTGCACCTGCCTGAATCTACTCATGCAGGGTGAGCTGGGCAGGGCAGGGGCTGGGTGGGAGGGGTCATGTGGTCCCAGGTCCCACCTGCTGGGCCCTGGGGGTTGGGTTAGGCAGTTATAGCCCCCCTTTCTTTCACATCCACAGGAGTCCCCTCCATAACCCAGGCCTGGGGAATGTGGGTCCTCTTATGGGCTGTGACGCTGCTGTTTCTCATCTCACTGGCTGCACACTTGTCCCAGTGGACCAGGGGCCGGAGCAAGAGCCATCCGGGGCAGGGATGGTGGGTAAGGGACAACAAGGAGGGGTTGACTGAGAGTTCTCTCTTACCAAGAAGTCGCCACTCATCCCTTAAACTCTGTGTTGCAGCTCTGGAGGGTCTGTGGAAGAGGTCCCGCTGTACGGGAACCTGCACTATCTACAGACAGGTAGGGAGCTGTCAGAGAGGAGGGGCACAGAGGCCAGGTCCTGGGTGGGTGGGATTGGGGCATATAGGAGGAGGGACAAGTTGCTGACCAGATTCCTGCTCTCCCTGTCCCAGGACGGCTGTCTCAAGACCCAGTGCCAAACCAGCAAGATCCAACTCCTGGAGGCCCTGCCAGGGTGAGTCAGCTATGGCTGGAGAAAAAGGGAGAGAAGGAAATGGGGGGCTTTCCGGCTTTTCTGAGGGTCCAGTGAACTTCTAACAGCCTTGCATCTCCAGGCTGCAGAGGAGGTGATGTGTTATACCAGCCTGCAGCTGCGGCCTCCTCAGGGCCGGATCCCTGGCCCTGGAACCCCCATCAAGTACTCGGAGGTGGTGCTGGACTCTGAGCCAAAGCCCCAGGCCTCAGGCCCCGAGCCGGAGCTCTATGCCTCGGTGTGTGCCCAGACCCGCCGGGCCCGGGCTTCCTTTCCCGATCAGGCCTATGCCAACAGCCAGCCTGCAGCCAGCTGAGATGGAGGGCCTGGCACAGTGGGACATGCACTGCCCCAGCCCCCAGTAGCAGGGGCATGACTGTTTCCCAACCAGCCCCAAAGTCGGGCGCCATTGCCAAGTCACAGGATGTGAGCTACCCTGGACTTCCTATCTGAGCTTCGAGGGAGACATCTCAGGGCAAAGCTTTCATGATGGAGGAGGCAAAAACAGCAGCCCCGTCCTCATTTACTTTTTCTATCTGTTCCTCTTAGGCCCCAAACTCCAGGTTCTCACTTCCTTCTTTTGGAGTTTAGCCAGATCCTCCCCACCCCCACTCCCTCATAGTCTACCCCCACGCCTCAGTGTCTCCTCAGGCACAGGAAGTGGGCGGTGGGGGAGGGAGTAAGAGCCTGACAGTAGGTGGGTGGGTATATTCCTTGGGAACCCACAGACTGGAGGGGACCTGGAACTTAGAGACCAGAGAGACTGAGCCTGGCTTTTGACCTGAGAACCCTGGCAGGAGAATAGTCTCCATCCTGCTGTCTCTGTCTTGTCCCCAAGTGTTCAAATAAAACTTTTCAAAAAATGTTTAGATTTTTACCTAGAAGGCTGAAGACCTGCAAAGGGCCCCACAAATGAGGGTGTGAACCTTGCTGTCTGCATGGAGCTGTTTCTTTGGATGCCTAGAGGGGCCAAGAGGGGCTGTGGGATCAACACTGCAGAGGTGGGTGCTGGGGTGGAAGGCTGGAGCCCAGATCCTCAGCTGCTCTTGCTGCTGCTAGAACACCCTTGGGATCTGCACTCAGAGCCACCACATTCCCCCTGGGGGCTACAAGCTCACAACGCTGAGCTACTCTCCCCTTTACCTCTATAATTGCCACCACCACCACGACCTGCCACCCTGGCTCCTTCATCAAGTCCCCCACCTGACTTCCCCCTGTCTGCCATGAGTCCTCGGCTATACCCTTGTTTTGACATCAGTAGCCTTATCTGCACTTAGTCATCGTATACCCCCAGAGGCCCTCTCCTTACCTCATCACCATGGCAGCAGTCCATCTCCACTCACTCTCTCCCACCCTGGCCTCCCAAAGTGTTGGGATTACAGGCGTGAGCCACCACACCTGGTCTTCATTCTCTCAGTTGTCACCTGCAGTCTTGGCAACAGTTTTGCTTGTCACCCCTTTCATTTTAATCCCCATCCAATTTGTCCTGCCTGTCTACCCATTATCTGCTGATTCTTAACCCCAGCCTCCTACCCTATACAGCATACTACATACATGCCCCAGCCTCCTGTCCCATACAGTCAGCTGGTTGGCACAGAGATTAGGACTCTGGGCTCAGGAGCTGGACTGCCTGCATTCAAATTCCATGCCTACCACTTACCAGCTGTGTGTTCTTGGGCAACTGGGCCTCAATTTTTGAATCTGTAAGATTGGGAGGATATTATTGGTGTTTACTTCAAAAGGTTGTTGAGAGGCTAAATGAGTTACCATTTGTAAGGCACTTAGACAATAAATTCTCAATAATGCTAGGCATTATTAAAATAAGAGAAACACAGGATCATCTGAGGGAGCTCACAGGTGAAGTGATTTCTAAGCAGAGACATGACACATGGTAGAATTTGCCAGGAGAGGCGAAAGACAGAAAATGCTCCAAGGCAGAGGGAGCCACAGGCAAAGGAGAGGCTTATTCAGAGGACCTGGCAGAAAGACATTAGGCACAGCTGGAGGGTGGAGTAAGATGGGGGCAATGGCAGGATGAGGCTGGAGGGGCAGACAGAAGCCAGATTACACTGTGCCCGTAAGTCATGCCAAGGAGCTTGGGCTTTATCCTGCAGAGGAGGTGAAAGGGAGTCACTGAAGGTTTTTAAGTGAGGATGAATATAGGGAGCTAAAGGCTCTAACTCCACTGGCTGCTGTGCTGATCTAGTGGCCGGCAGTCTGGAGTCAGGTGGCACCTTTCAGAGGCTGTTGCAAGATTTAAGTGAGAGGGGATGGTGGCCATGGCGGTAAGGATGCAGAGGAGGATGGATTACAGAGCTATTCAGGGTTTTTTAAAAAGGCCCACCTATCACACCTTCCAGCTTTCTGGTTACAGCCTGTAACAACCCCCAACCCAAATCCTCATCATAGTAATACAGCATAGCTCCAAATTGGTTCAGCTCATCACCTCCCTCACCTGGCAACCTCTCTCTCTTTCACACACACACACACACACACACACCCTCCACTCCTTAGTCCATTGGCTGCCCCTCCCACCTTTCTTGCAACCCATCTGTGATCCATCTCTCTAGCAAAAGCCCCAATATGTCAAACCCCTTCTAGGATATTTCAAGGTCTAGGCCATCTCCCCCAAGCCTCTGTAGAGGCGGGCCCTGCTTGTCAGATCTTTCAGAGGTTTGAGGGCCTGAAGAAAGTAGTCGAGGCTTTCACTTCCAAGTTTCTCTCTTTCCCACTTGGAGTGCTACAGGAAGCCACAGAGGAGGAAACTGTGGGCCTGATTCTGGCCTGGTGGTCCCAATTTGAAGGGAACCACCCTTCCCTAAAGTCTGCTCCCCCACACACCCCACAAATGCCCCTGGGTCTCTGGACTTCTGAGGACCCCATCCTGGGCCTCCCCAGGAGAGGCCCAGGTCGCGGTTAAGGGCAGAGAGCTGAGGCTGCGCGGGAGGGAAGGAGGCTTGGGGGCGGGGGGCGGGGGGCGGACACCGGATGCGGGGAACCACCGGCAGCGGGATGTGGGGTTCTGAGGACTGTGGTGCTTCAGAAGATGGCTCAGCGTCGCGCCAGGTGGACGTGAGAGCTTTACCCTGGAGGAGGCGGGGGCTGGGGTCCCGCCTACCAACTAGGAAGAGCCAAGGGCTCAACGCCCCCAACCCAGCCCGCAAATCTCGCCTGCAAACCCGGCCGGCCCAGACCCCCTTCGCTAGCCGCCTCCGCCCACTTAGGACTGAGGCTGCAGCGCCGCCGCCCGGCGAGGGGCGGAGTTGCCACCACGTCTGGGCAGGCGAGCTGCAGTCTGGCCCGCGGCATTCTGGGAGTTGTAGTCCTGACGCCTCGGGGCCGTCCCGGGGTGTTGCCCCTGACCACGCACAATGAGGAAGACGCCGCTTCCCCGAAGTCGCCTCCGAAGTTCGCAGAACGCAGCGTACCGGCTCCCTCTGGACTGGGTGACATGACTGTTCCCAAACAGTCGTTTGTAAATTGAGTTTCTGTGAAACAATTTTTATTTTTCATGTGTGACATAAGCGGGGTACGATTTGAACTTTTGTTTTCCTTCTAGCCCCCCAGACCGGATCCTCTGTCTTCTCTCTCCGGTACCGCCGTTCCGTTTTTTTACCTTCTTACCTCGCCTCCATCACCGAGGTGCGTCCTCTGGCCCAGGGCCTCAGTCCTGAACACTAAGACTGGGCAGCTTCCCGACTGATTTCTGAACCTAGACATCTTCCGAGGGCCCCCCTCGCCACACCCTCTAGTTTATCAACTCATCTTACTAAATACCTGTGATTTCTCTCCCCATCTCTAGCTCCAGATACTTCCCTAGTAGACTCCTTTCCCTCGCCGGTGTAGCATTACAGCCAGAAGGAGTGCGGGTCCCGGTGCTCCATTCCCAGGGAAAGACTCTCAGGGGGAGCCCCTAGGGCCCCTTGAGGCTCCAGCTGTCCCCACTCTTCCTTAGAGCCCAGCTAGGAGGATAGGGACGCCCTTAAAACGGAAGAGGAAGGGTCTCCGGGACAGTCAAAGGTTCAACATCAGGAAGTTCTTAAGAAATCACTTATAGATGGGGAGGGTCTTTGGAAGCCATCTGGCCAGGGCCCCTTCGTCTTTGGCCCTGCTCTGCAGTCTCAAAGATGGGTTTAAACTTCCAGCTTGGTTTTGTTACAAGGAAAACAGCTGGGATGTGGAGAAAGACCAAATCTTTTTTTAATATTTAATTTTTATGGGTCCATAGGTGTATATATTTATGGAGTACATGAGATATTTTGATATAGGCATAGAATGCATAATACAGATCAAGTCTTTTTTTTTTTTTTTTTTTTTTTGAGACCGAGTCGCGCTGTTGCCCAAGCTTGGAGTGCAGTGACGCAACGTTGGCTCACTGCAACCTCCGCCTCCTGGGTTCAAGTGATTCTCCTGCCTCAGCCTCCCTAGTAGCTGGGATTACAGGTGTGTGCACCACCATGCCCTGCTAATTTTTGTATTTTTAGTAGAGACAGGGTTTCTCCGTGTTGGCCAGGCTGGTCTGCAACTCCTGACCTCAAGTGATCCACCTACTGGGATTGCAGATGTGAGCCACCACAGCAGCCTAGACCAAGTCTTAATGACTTCATTTGAAACCTTGAATCCAGCCATACCCAGAGCTAGATTTGCCAACTGAACTCTTTGGCTATGTAAGCTAATAAATTCCTTTTTTTTTTTTTTTTTTTTTGTTTAAGTCAAGGTTATGTTTTCTATATCTTGCAACCACGAGTTCTGACTAATTCTGTGGGGAAAAGACCAATAGACCAGAGCCGGCTGAAGATGCTGGACCTCTAATATCTTCACTTATTGCCCAATTCCTCCATGAGCCACCCTCCTCTGACTTAAATGCACTGTCATGCTATTTGGCTCTAAGATATTTCTGCTTAACGTGTGAGTTAATCAGATCTCTTGTCTAGCTTATAAATGTCTAGAATCATATAGCCAAAAGGAGGCTGACAAATTTGGCCCAAACTTATACCCACTGCAGGAACTGCCCTATGAGTTTCTTCTTGAACACTTCCAGAGACACTGAACTCCTTGGTAAGGACCTCACGGCCTTACCAAGGACTCTTTTCCAATCTTTCTTATTGATAGAACTTTTAAAATTTGGAACCAAACTCTGCTTCCTCATTACTTGTCTCAGTGGTTCTGCCAATACTGGCCAGACAGTCCTGGAGGAATTGGGAGCCAGTCCTTACAAATGGCATAGGTCTTTCCTTTTTTTTTTTTTGAGATGGAGTTTCGCTCTTGTTACCCAGGCTGGAGTGCAATGGAGTGATCTCCGCTCACCGCAATCGCCGCCTCCTGGGTTCAGGCAATTATCCTGCCTCAGCCTCCTGAGTAGCTGGGATTACAGGCACACGCCACCGTGCCCAGCTAATTTTTTGTATCTTTAGTAGGGACGGGGTTTCACCATGTTGACCAGGATGGTCTCGATCTCTTGACCTCGTGATCCACCTGCCTCGGCCTCCCAAAGTGCTGGGATTACAGGCTTGAGCCACCGCGCCCGGCCAGGTCTTTCCTTTTCAGAGGAAGGTTTCTAAAAGTGCCTTCCACTTTTTTTTTGAGGAGTCTTCTTCTGTCGCCCAGACTGGAATACAATGGCATGATCTTGGCTCACTGCAACCTCCGCCTCCCAGGTTCAAGGGATTCTCCGGCCTCAGCCTCCCAAGTAGCTGGGATTACAGGCACACACCAACCTGCCTGGCTAATTTTTGTATTTTCAGTAGAAACAGAGTTTTGCCATGATGGCCAGGCGCTAGTCTTGAATGCCTGACCTCAGGTGATCTGCCGGCCTCAGCCTCCAAAAGTGTTGGGCTTACAGGTGTGAGCCACTGCGCCCAGCTGGTTCTTTTACAGACTTTATTTGCAGCCTACTCATCGCTCCCATTGTTCAGCTTGATCCTTAAAGTGTGGCACTAAGAAGTGGCTCTAGCACTGGCAACACATAGTCGGGGGCCATATCTTTGGGCACTAAGTCTACTAGGCCTTTGTTTGTAAGGAATCAACTCTTTAAGTGAAGCAGTGTTTGTCATAAGGACACATGGGGCCATCAGGAGGCCTAAATGGAATGGGAATCCCAGAACAATGGCGACGGTGTGACTAGACCTTTGCAGACTGTTATTGGATCTCAGATCTCTGCAGTGCTGGGGACCTCAGTGGCAGGAGTATGTGGGACTTCAGGATCTTGCTCCTCTAGTTCCAAGACTCAGATACTCTCTTCATTTCTGCTTCTTTTAGTTATATGCAATTTCTTCCCACTTAGCTAACTTGCTTCTCTATCCTTTATTATATATTTTCTACTTCAATGTTCTGCCTCCATACAGCAGCTTCATATTTTCTCCTCTGTCTTGTGACTTCAGTTAAATGTTTAATTATAGAAATAGCATGTGCACGTGGTAAAAAAAAATCAAATAGAACCAAAGGCTACACAACAGTGGTTCTCAACCAGGGGTGACTTTGCCCCCCACCCCCTCCAGGAAACATTTAGGGCATGTCTGGAAACATTTTTGGTTGTCACAGCTGGGGAGGGGGTGCTAGTGGAAAGAGGTCAAGGATGCTGTTAAACCACCTACAAAACTCAGGTCAGATACCCACAATAAGGAGTTTCTCACCCCACATTTACAGTGCTGAGGGTGGGAAATCCTAGCGTGGGGGAAAAAAAAGTAAAAGGCTCTATCCCCCATCCCCATTCCTACTCCCTGTCATAGTTCCCTGTCAAAGTTAGGCAACTACTTTTAACAGTTCCTGGCTTTAAGTGTTTTGGTGATTATCATTGTACAGTATTTGTTAATAGTAATACTTAGACCTCTCAGAGCAAGAGAATTAGGGGAAACTAGTGATGTTCTCCATTCCACACCCTCTCTGACAACTCCAGCTATAGATGACAAACTTTAAGTGGGCTCCTTTGGGCTCCAAGCAGAGAGAATTATTTGCAGACAAATTCTGGAGAACAGCTGCAGAGCCAAAAGCAAGGACCTTCAGGAAGAAAGCAAGTCTCAGAGACAACCTGCTTCCCAAGGACAATCATGGCTCTTCTGGGTCTTAACTCCCCTCAAAACTAATTGTGGATTGAATTTCTCAGCCCTTGAGGCTGGGAAAATGCTGAAAAACCAGAGGGCAGAGGAACCTGCTGGCAGAGACAGCTGTATCCCTGACAGAAAAAAATGAGAGCCTGGAAGAGATATGTGTGAAGCTCAAACACAAAAGATTTCCTTGAACTAGAAAATGTGATCTCAGAACTAAAAATTTCCATAGATAAATCAAAGGAGAGGCCAGTCATTGCTGAAACCCCAAAATAGGCCTAGAAAATTAAATAGAAAAAATGTTTCAAAACCTGTCACAAAAATATAGAGATGTAAATATGTGGTAGAAGGTAGGAGCCTGGAACAGAGCCAGTAGACTTAACCTGCAAATCCTGTGGGCTCTGGGAGAAAAAGGAACAGAAGAGGAGAGGTCATAATTCAATAATTGATGGCATTTCTTTAAGCTGAAGAAAGAGTTAAGTTCCAGATCCAGTTGAAAGCAAAAGACACTCACTCAGCTACATATAGGTAAAAATTCCCAAACTTTAAGAATGTAGGAAATCTTACACATTTTCAGGCAGAAAGCAAGTTCTTTTTTCTCATCTGCAATGCTGGGAGTTAAAAGACTCCAAAATGGAATGTGGGCTAATGAAAGAAAAGCCCTGCAACCCATACCTGGCCAAGGAAAAAAAAAAGGATTTGCAGAAATCACTGAGTACCTCATCTGATAAATATTTTTGAGAAGAGACTCTAATAAACAACAAATGAATCCTAACAGAGCCTTCAAGACAGGGGAAGAGAAGAGGCAAGAAAGCAGTGGGGAGCAATGAACCATGTCTATTCATGATGTGTAACATACATGCTAAATAAGGACTCTTGAAACAGATGGAACACACTGTAAGGGAAATTCTCATAAGGAGTAAATTATCTCATTAAAACTGTGGAGTCAGGTGGCGGGGATAAGGGGAAGTGTTCCAGAAGTCTAAGGCAGGGAGAGGTGGGGAGGAAGGAAGGGTAGTGAAAGCAATCTAAAGATCACATTTTGGCTGAGCATGGTGGCTCATGCCTGTAATCCCAGCACTTTTGGAGGCCAAAGCGGACAGATCATCTGAGGTCGGGAGTTTGAGACCAGCCTGACCAACATGGTGAAACCTGTTTGTAATAAATATATAAAAATTAGCCAGGCATGGTGGCAGGCGCTTGTAATCCCAGCTACTTGGGAGTCTGAGGCAGGAGAATTGCTTGAACCCAGGAGGTGGAGGTTGTAGTGAGCCAAGATTGCACCATTGCACTCCAGCCTGGGCAACAAGAGCAAGACTCTGTCTCAAAAAAAGAAAAAAAAAAAGATTACATTTTATTGGGATGGGGAGGAAATAGAAGATAATCAGAGTATTCTGGAAATAGTAGCTGTTGTTTCATACACTAGAAGACTCATGTATCTGAGAGCAGGGATAGGGATGGTAACTATTAATAGAATAACAAACTCCAAATTAGGAGAAAAATTAAATAAGTAGCAACTTATTCAATCCAGCAAAGATGAAAAAAACAAGAATTAACAACAATATAAAAAATTTGTAAAACAAGTAAGATGGAAATAAGAGAATATATCACTCATTACAGTAATTACAAGTGGACTGAAATCTACCATTAAAAGACTGTCAGATTTTGTTATAAATCAAATTTAGGTACAGGTAAGAGAAACACACTTCAGTTGATAAAGTTGCAAAATAAAGACATGGAAACACCAGACAAATATTAAATATTATTTTAAAAACCAGAGGCTATATACAGACAGTCCCCAATTTATGATGATTTAACATAGGATTCTTTGACTTTATGATGAATTTATCATTGTATTAAATGCATTTTTGACTAACATTACTTTCTACTTATGATGGGTTTTTTTGGAACGTAGTCCTATCCTAAGTCAAGGAACATCTGTACTGATATGAAACAAGAGAAATTTAAGTTATGGGCTGGGGGAGATGGAAGCAGAGTGCCTGCAAAGGGATAGGAGGAAATTTTGGTAGAGATAGGAATGTTTTATCTTGATTGTGGTGGTAATTACACAACTGAATACATTTGTCAAAACTCATAGGATTGTGCACTTAAAAGTGATCAATTTATTGGCCTGGCACAGTGGCTCACTCCTATAATCCCAGTACTTTGGGAGGTTGAGTCAGGTGGATCAACTGAGGTCAGAAGTTCAAGACCAGCCTGACCAACGTGGAGAAACCCCACCTCTACTAAAAATACAAAATTAGCTGGGCGTGGTGGCACATTCCTGTAATCCCAGCTACTCAGGAGGCTGAGGCAGGGGAATTGCTTGAACCCGGGGAGGCCAAGGTTGTGGTGAACCAAGATCATTCTATTGCACTCTAGCCTGGGCAACAAGAGCGAAACTCCTCAAAAAACAAACAAAAAAGCCTGATCAATTTATTGTATGTAAATTACAATGCAATAAAGCTGGCTTTAAAAAGAATGAAAATACCACGTTCACAAAATAGTGAAATGAGAAAACAGTGTAGCATGAGAAACCCTCTCAATTACCCTGTGTCATATATTATACTATCAAAAAGATAGTGAGCTTAAAACAACACATGTGCAGGAAAAATAAAGGGAGCACTTATTTCAAGAAATGATAAAAATAATAAGAAAGGAAATCAAATCAGAAAATGACTAAAGCTAGCACTAATGAGATGAAAAACAAACAAAAATACTAAAAAGGGCCAGGCAAGATGGCTCATGGCTGTAATCCCAGCACTCTGGGAAGCCAAGGCAGGAGAATCACTTGAACTCAGGAGTTCAAAACCAGCCTGGGCAACATGGCGAAACCCCATCTCTGAAAAAAAAAAAAATTAACCAGGAGTGGTGGTGTACACACCTGTAGTCTCGGCTACTTGGGAGGCTAAAATGGGAGGATAGCTTGAGCCCAGGAGGTGGAGGTTGCAGTGAGCTGAGATTGCACCACTGCACTTCAGCCTGGGCAATAGAGCCACACCCTGTCTCAAAAAGGAAAAAAATACAAAACTAAAAAGGATAAATAAATCCAACAAAATTGTCTTTTAAAAGAGCTAATAAGGCCAGGCACAGTGGCTCAAACCTGTAATCCCAGCACTTTGGCAGGCCAAGAGGTGGGTGGATAACTTGAGGTCAGGAGTTTGAGACCAGCCTGGACAACATGGTGAAAACCTGTCTCTACTAAAAATACAAAAATTAGCGAGGCGTGGTGGCAGACATCTGTAACCCCAGCTACTGGGGAGGCTGAGGCAGGAGAATCACTTGAACCCAGGAGGCAGATGTTGCACTGAGCCGAAATCACACCACTGCACTCTAGCCTGGGGGACTGAACAAGACTCTCTCTTGAAAAAACAAAAGAACTAATAAATAAACCTCTTGCAAGCCCAATTAAAGAAGGGGGAGGGGTGGGGGGAAGGAGAGTAAAGATTAAATAGATAAGATTAGTTACAAGAAAGAAAACATTCTTACAAATGGAGGAGAAAAATGAAGAATTATAAAACAGTACAACTTAAAATTACTTAGCAATCAATTTGAAAATTTAGAGGAAATGGATATCTTTCAAGAAAAATATATATTACCAAAATTGACCCAGGAGAAAGAGGAAAGTTTGAACATCCCAACTTATTTTAGAACAGGCTGCAATAGGAAGGTGATGAGAGACTCCTTTGGGAAAAGACTGCATTCACATGGCACCAGAGCTGAGTTTTTTCTAACCTTATATAATAATTTCTATGCCATTTAAACTAGTCAAGACTATAGAAAACAAAGGCTCCAAGATTTAATATGTAAAGCCAGTACAGCTTGATACTATTCCCAATAAAACTCTTAAGTAAAAAAGAAAAAGAGGAAAACTGCTTAAATACAATGAAGACTAAACCTAAAAGCAAATATGGTTCTTAATGGTGAAACATTGAAACCACTTCAATTAAAATTAAAATTTAGACAGAAATGCCTGCTGTTATCCTTATTATTTGATATATCTTGGACATTTTACCAAATTCAGTAAAACAAGAAAATAAGTTGTTATGCTCACCATAAAATAAATTATAATTTTTTTTTTTTTTTTGAGATAGAGTCTCCCTCTGTTGCCCAGGCTGGGATGCCGATGGTGTGATCTTGGCTCACTGCAAACTCCACCTCCCTGGTTCAAGCAATTCCCTGCCTCTGCCTCCCCAGTAGCTGGGATTACAGGTGCATGCCAACACGCCTGGCTAATTTTTTTGTATTTTTAGTAAAGATGGGGTTTCACCAGGTTGGCAAGACAGGTCTTGAACTCCTGACCTCAGGCAATCCACCCACCTCGGCCTCTGAAAGTGCTGTGATTACAGGCATGAGCCACTGCATCCAACCAATATTATCTTTTTTGCTGCTAATATGATTGTACCGGAAAAACTGAAAGACTAGAAAAAAATATATAGTGAAAAACAATAAAATTTGGAGAGCTGACTGGATACAAGATGAACATAACAAAAATAAATTGTTAGGCCGGGCGCGGTGGTTCACACCTATAATCCCAGCACTTTGGGAGGCTGAGGCAGGTGGATCACAAGGTCAAGAGATCAAGACCATCCTGGTCAACAAGGTGAAACCCCATCTCTACTAAAAATACAAAAAATTAGCTGGGCATGGTGGTGCACGCCTGTAGTCCTAGCTACTTGGGAGGCTGAGGCAGAAGAATTGCTTGAACCCAGAAGGCAGAGGTTGCGGTGAGCCGAGATCGTGCCACTGTACTCCAGTCTGGGTAACAACAGCGAAACTCCGTCTCAAAAAATAAATAAATAAATAAATAAAATTGTTTTTGGTCTAGAAATAAGCATATTGAATTGAAAATGGAAGCAGTTTCAGCTTAGAGTTACAAAGTTATAAAATTTTTAGGATAATATATAATGAAGCTACTCAGAAAAAAATTCTTAGGATAATAATGATAGCCACCATAATGCCATGAACTGTTCTAGGCACTTTGTATCAACTCAGTCAAGCCTCACAACATCCTCTTGAAACAGATTACTATTATTATTATTGTATTTTTTTGTTGAGACAGGGGTTTTGCCATGTTGCACAGGTTGATCTCAAACTCCTGGGCTCAAGTGATGATCTGCCTGTCTCAGCCTCCCAAAGTGCTGGCATTACAGGTGTAAGCCACTGAGAACAGCCACTATTATTATTCTTATTTCATAGAAGAGAATACTGAGGAAAACACAGATTAAGTGATTTAGCCCCAGATTACTATTAGTAGCTGGTAAAATCTCAGAGTTGGGATTTGAACCCTGGCAGTTTGGCACTGATACTTCCCTTGTAACCAGTATGATATAGTACATATATTTACTCATATTTAATCAAGAAACATGTAAGTACTCACATGAATAAAGTTATGCAGTAAAATATTATTAAACACTATAAAGCGAGATGGGAACAAAGAGAAAATAAGCCATATCCTTGACTGGGAAGAGAAACTATTATAAAAAGTGTCACTTCTCCAAAAATTAAAATGCATAATTTCAATTGGTGTAACAAAGAACAGGCAAAGAAAAAATATTTTTTAAAAATACAAAGATTTTGATATGGAAAATAGTGAGGAAAAAATAGTGAGAGGAATTCATTTTACCAGCCAGGTGTAGTGACTCACGCCTGTAATCCCAGCACCTTGGGAGGCCAAGGCGGGAGGATCACCTGAAGTCAGGAGTTTAAGACCAGCCTGGCCAACATGGTGAAACCCCATCTCTACAAAAATACAAAACTCAGCTGGGCTTAATGGCACATGCCTGTAATCCCAGCTACTTGGGAGGCTGAGGCAGGAGAACAGCTTGAAACCGGGAGTTGGAGGTTACAGTTAGCTGAGACCACACCATGGCACTCCAGCCTAGGCGACAGAAAAAAAAAAGAAAAGAAAAAAACAAAAAAAAATTGTTTTACCAAATATGATAGCATAATTTAAGGCTACTTAATCAAATGAATAAAGCAAAGGGGAAAAATTAGTCAGTGGAATAAAACAGAGAATCCCAAATGAGATGATTGTGTATACAAAAACATGACAATTCAACTCATTGGGGAAAGTGGGCTGACATAATCAGTGGAACTGGAAAATCCAGCTCTCCTTACTCAGTGCTACCATGTGCTGGGACTGTGCACTGCAGGGCTTGCATGCCAGGAACCATGAATGTTTTGAATGGTATCTAGAATGGTGATCCTTTTCAGAAGGTTTTCAATTTACTTTGCCCAGAGCCATGAGAGGAATCCCTATGGCAGCTGTAGCCTTTACAAAATGTATTTCTTAAATAAGGTCAAAATTACTCATTGACCCATGGGCTACAGAATGGAAGTTTGTTAAGCATGAAAACAACATTAATCACCATCAGATATCTGGGTGACTAGGTGCATTGTCAATGAGCAGTAGTATTTGGAAAGTAATCTTTTTTCTGAGCAGTAGGTGTCAACAGGGGGCTTAAAATATTCAGTAAACCATGCTGTGAACAGATGTGCTGTCATCCAGGCATTGTTCTTCCATGTATAAAGCACAGGAAGGATAGATTTAGCATAATTCTTAAGGGCTCTAGGATTTTGAGAATGGTAAATGAGCAGTGCTTCAACTTAAAGCCATGAGCTGCATTACTCTCTAACAAGAGATTCAGCCCCTGTCCTTTGAAGATTTGAAGCCAGGCATTGACTTTTCTTCTCCAGCTATGAAAGTCCTAGATGGCCTCTTTCCCAGTAAAAGGCTGTTTAGTTTGCATTGAAATCTGTTGTTTAGTGTAGCCACCTTCATCAGTGATCTTAGCTAGATCTTCTGGATAACTTGGCTGCAGCTTCTACATCAGCACTTGCTGCTTCATCTTGCACTTTTATGTTATACAGATGGCTTCTTTCCTTAAACCTCATGAACCAACCTCTGCCGACTTCAGAATTTTCTTCTGCAGCCTCCCCAGTTGTCTCAGCCTCTAGGGAGTTGAAGAGAGTTAGGGTCTTACTCTGGATTAGGCTTTGACTTAAGAGAATGTTGTGGCTGGTTTGATCTTCTATCGAGACCACTCAGACTCTCTCCATATCAGCAATAGGCTGTTTTACTTTCTTATCATTTATGTGTTCACTGGAGTAGCACTTTTAATTTTCTTCAAGAATTTTTACTTTGCATTCGTAACTTGGCTAACTGGCACAAGAGGCCTAGCTTTTGGCCTATCTTGGCTTTTGACATGCCTTGCTCACTAAGCTCAATCCTTTCTGCTTTTGATGCAAAGTGACAGATGTGTAACTCTTCCTTTCACTTGAACACTTAGAGACCACTGTAGGGTTATTAATTTGCCTAATTTTAATATTGTTGTGTCTCAGGGAATAGAGAGACCCAAGGAGAGGGAGAGAGACAGGGAATAGCCAGTGAGTGGAGCAGTCAAAACACACACAACTTTTATTAAGTTCTGTGTCTTATAGGTATGGTTTATGGTGCTCCAAAACAATTACACTATTAACATCAAAAATCACTGATCACAGAGCTCCATAACAGATACAATAACAATGAAAATAGTTTGAAATATTGTAAGAATTACCAAAATGTGACACAGAGACATGAAGTGAGCACACACTGCTGGAAAATGGTACCAATAGACTTGCCTGCCACAGGGTCACCACAAACCTTCAATCTCTAAAACACTCAGTATCTGTGAAGCATAATAAGTGAAGTGCAATAAAACAAGGTGTGCCTGGACATTCCTATGGTATGTAGCAGCAGTCCGAACCCCTCATGGTAATCAGGCAATCGGGTTCGGTCTCCTCTGCCAGGGTAATCTCTGCCTACTAGTATGTGAGCAAGGAGTAGCCAGGCACAATCACCAGGTATGGAGAACTCTATGGGTCAGTGTAGTCTCTACACATCCTTTCATCTTTAACTCCCACTGCTAGCTCAGCAGTCATCTCCATATTTTCCCACTTAAGTTCCTGAGAATGAGCTTTGATAAAATCCTCATGTCTAGGCCACTGGGTTGTCCATGGATTGGCCAGCCTTAGACAGTTGCCCACTTGCTCATTTTATTTATTTATATTTTTTGTAGAGACGAGGTTTCACCATGTTGAACAGGATGGTGTTGAACTCCTGACTTCAGATGATACACCAGCCTTGGCCTCCCAAAGTGCTAGGATTCCAGGCATGAGCCACGGCACCTGGCCATTTATTTTATTTTATTTTATTTATCTTTATATATATATATACATATTTTTTGAGACAGAGTCTTGCTAAGTCACCGAGGCTGGAGTGCAGTGGTGCAATCTCAGCTCACTGCAACCTCTGCCTCCTGGGTTCAAGCGATTCTGCTGCCTCTGTCTCCTGAATAGCTGGGATTACAGGTGTGTGCCACCATGCCCAACTAATTTTGTATTTTAAGTAGAGACAGGGTTTCACTATGTTGGCCAGGCTAGTCTTGAACTCCTGACCTCAGGTGATTTACCCACGTTGGTCTCCCAAAGTGCTGGGATGATGGCGTGAACGACTGCACCCAGCCTCACTTGCTAATTTTTATCAGCTGAGGTCAGAGGGGTTGAAGGTCACAAGACACAATTTCTGGGCACTAGGGCTGCCTCATCAGCAGAGGTTTGCCTGCTTTAAAAGGGCTATAGGTAGTATTTAAGTATGAGAAAAAAAACAAAAAGTAAAAAACAAAACAAAAAAAAGGGCTATAGGTGTGTCTGGCATAAGGTTTGATGTATTGGTAAGGGAGCTACAGTTCCATGCGGCAACCTTTTGTCACAAGCTTCTTTCCAGTCACTGGGTCAGTTTATGAGAAGCTTACAGCCTGCTGAGCCCAGTTTCTCAATTTGTCAAATAAGCAGGCTGGTCTCTCTAAGATCCCTTCAAGTGTAAAATAATAACTGCCTTTTTCCTCAAACTTTTTTTTACATAAACAATTGTTAACCCAGGACACTCTCCCTCCTATGCTTATGTAATTTATTTTTTGAATTCCAAATTTCATTTTTCAATAAATGCTTGGTATATTATCATTTAAAAATTTTAATTTTGAATAATTTATTTTTTGAGAGAGGGTTTCACTGCTGCCTAGGTCAGAGGGCAGTGGCACAAACATGGCTCACAACAGCCTTGTCCTCCTGGGCTTGAACAATCCACCCCACTCAGCTTCCCAAGAAGCTGAGACCATAGATGTGTGCCATCACACCTGCTTAATTTTTAAATTTTTTGTAGAGATGGGATCTCACTGTGTTGGCCAGGCTGGTCGCAAACTCCTAGACCCAAGTCATCCTCCCACCTCAGCTTCCCAGAATCTTGGGATTATAGGTGTGAGCCATCAAGCCTGGCTTTGCTGTTATTATTATTATTATTTTATTTATTTATTTAGAGACAGAGTCACTCTGTTGCTAGGCGCCAGGCTGGAGTGCAGTGGCATGATCTCAGCTCACTGCAACCTCTGCCTCCCAGGTTCAAGCAATTCTCCTGCCTCAGCCTCCCGAGTAGCTAGGACTACAGGCGCACACCACCACGCCCAGCTAATTTTTGTATTTTTAGTAGAGACGGGGTTTCACCATGTTGGCCAGGATGCTCTCGATTTCTTGACCTCGTGATCTGCTCACCTCAGCCTCCCAAAGTGCTGGGATTACAAGCGTGAGCCACCGCGCCTGGCCCTATTTATTTTTTTGAGACTGAGTCTCACTCTGTCGCTCAGGCTGGAATGCAGTGGTGCCATCTCAGCTCACTGCAACCTCTGCCTCCCGGGTTCAAGTGATTCTTCTGCCTCAGCCTCCCGAGTAGCTGGGACTACAGGCGCCTGCCACCGTGCCTAGCTAATTTTTGTATTTTTAGTAGAAACAAGGTTTCACCATATTGGCCAGGCTGATCTCGAACTCCTGACATCATGATCCACCTGCCTTGGCCTCCCAAAGTGCTAGAATTACAGGTGTGAGCCACCGCACCTGGCCTGCTGTTATTATTTTTATGACATTTCATTCTGTGGTTTGGAGCCATCATTTTTCCCTGTTGCAGTGCTTGAATCTTGAGTTGGCCTTTTGATGTATTTGGTTTTCTTTTCAGCTCTGTGCCATTGGCACAGAAAATGTGCTTTCTGTGTCACCACTTGAGGCAGGACCAAAGAGAGGCCTGGGACAAATCACTGAAGACCTATCTGTACTCTTTGGCTTCAGTGATCAAAGAACTCCAAGTCTCCCTCATGGTGCGATCAGGTGGCCCATTTTTCTCCCTCCTGACTCTGAAGCCTTTGTGACAGACTTTTAAAGAGGCCTTTACTAAAGTCCACACCTACCGTGTCTCCAGCAATCATACTCTTGATTGAGGTCAGACTATCTTGTATTTTACAGATGGAAAATTGTGACTTGTCCAAAGTCACATACTGTGGCAAGGCTGGTCTCTTTAACCAGTGTCATGTTCTTTTTATTACATTATTCTTCCTCCACAGTTCAGGAAATGTATTTAATGCTACTCTAATAAATTACATACTTGATGGCTTAAACAATAAAAATGTATTGTCTTACAGTTCTGGAGATTAGGTCGACACAGGTCTCACTGGGCTGAAGTCAAGGTGTCTGCAGGGCTGCTTCCTTTCTGGAGGCTGAAGGGGAAAATCTGCTTCCTTGTCTTTTCCATCTCTTGGAGGCTGCTTGCATTCCTTGGCTCATGGTCCTCTTCCTCCACCTTCAGAATCAGGACCTTTGGGTTGAGTGCTTATCCTGTGGCATCTCTCTGGCCCTCCTTCCCTCACCGAATCTCTTTCTCCCTGTGATAGGAAAGGTTCTCCCTTTCAAGGACTCATGTGATCAGAATGTGCCTATCAAGATAAAACAGGAAAATCTCTCCATCTAAAAGGGCCTTAATTAACATAGTCACATCTACATTTTGTTAGGTAAAGTGACATAGTCACAGGTTCCAGGGATTTGGGTGTGAACATTTTTGGGAGGCCATTCTGGCTACCACACCCTGTCAGTAAACTAGGGCTTCCTGGAGGCCAGTGGGTTAAAGTAAAGTAACAAATATAGCCTGACTTTCAGAGTCTTAGGAGACGCCTCTGATGTCCTGACATAGACTGTATCAATGACAAGTTCCCTTTCACATGGGAGATTCTATCTGATGCCCTCACGTTTGGACCCCATCCTCTTGTCAACCCATTCCATGTAATGAGTAATGGGGAGGTCAGGAGAGGGTAAAACGTGGGTGTTGGTGTCTGCCCTCCAGACTCTCAGATGATATTATGGTTCTGGAAAAGCTGAAATGTATAGCACTGACTGACCCCTCAGCTCTTAAAAAAAAAACTCCCTGATATTTGGGCAGTAGAGGTATAGCTTGGAGTTACAGACATCTTTTCTGATGTTCAGCTTCTAAAAGTAATGTGAATGTCAAAATTGTAAAGAACCCATGTGGGCCAGGCGCGGTCGCTCATACCTGTAATCCCAGCACTTTGGGAGGCCGAGGCGGGTGGATCACAAGGTCAAGAGATCGAGACCATCCTGGTCAACATGGTGAAACCCCGTCTCTACTAAAAATACAAAAAATTATCTGGGCATGGTGGCGCGTGCCTGTAATCCCAGCTACTCAGGAGGCTGAGGCAGGAGAATTGCCTGAACCCAGGAGGCGGAGGTTGCGGTGAGCCGAGATCGCACCATTGCACTCCAGCCTGGGTAACAAGAGCGAAACTCCGTCTCAAAAAAAAAAAAAAAAAAAAAGCACCCATGTGACACAATTGGGGAAGGGGAAGGAGCCCACACTTTTACACAAAGGAAGGCTACAAGATGGTCTAAGACAGAGAGAATGCAGCCTGTGATGAGAAGATATGTAACCATCACCAAAAGACTAAAGAGGACACAAAGTGAGACTCTGTCTCCAAAAAAAAAAGAAGGGATCCCCAGATGGAACTGCACACCCCATTGCCTTGAATGTCCTAACGAGGGTCTCTGTGTCCCAGGCTGGGCACAATCTTGGCTCACTGCAACCTCTACCTCCCAGGTTCAAGCGATTCTCCTGCCTTAGCCTCCCAAGTAGCTGGAATTATAGGCATATGCCACCATGCCCAGCTAATCTTTTTGTTTTTTGAGATGGAGTTTTGCTCTTGTTGCCCAGGCTAGAGTGCAATGGCACAATACACCTCTGCATCCTGGGTTCAAGCAATTCTCTTGCCTCAGCCTCCCCAGTAGCTGGGATTACTGGTACGCATTACTAAGCCCGGCTAATTGTGTATTTTTTTTTAGAGACAGGGTTTCTCCATGTTGGTCAGGCTGGTCTTGAACTTCTGACCTCAGCTGATCTGGCTGCCTTGGCCTCCCAAAGTGCTGGGATTACAGGTGTGAGCCACCACGCTTGGCCTAATTTTTGTATTTTTAATAGAGACAGGGTTTCACCATGTTGGCCAGGCTGGTCTTAAATTCCTCACTTCAGGTGATCTGCCCCCCTCAGTCTCCCAAAGTGCTGGGATTACAGGTGTGAGCCACCGCACTTGGCCAGAGTATCACCTTCTTAAGCCTCTCCACAGGTCAAGTTAGGCAGCATGCCTATGGATTCCTTTTTTTTTTCCTTTTGTTTGAGACAGAGCTTTGCTCTTGTTACCCAGGCTGGAGTGCAATGGCATGATCTTGACCCACTGCAACCTCTACCTCCTGGGTTCAAGCGATTCTCTTGCCTCAGCCTCCCGAGTAGCTGGGACTACAGGTGGGAGCCACCACACCTGGCTAATTTTTTTTATAGTTTTAGTAGAGATGGGGTTTCACTGTGTTGGCCACAGATTCCTTTTTGAGTGCAGACTGGAAGCTTGGTTTTAGCATTTTACCTGGCATCTACGTCATGTTCACCTGTGTTTTGGATCTGAAAACTGGGACACTGTACAGTTTGGGAAACTCCTGAAAATGTTAATGCAATTGATTTACTCACACACTGCCGACACCTACCCCCTGTACTCCACAGGTTCAAGTATTTGACTGTCCCCACCCACCTCTGCCACCAGCTGCTCTATACACTTCCACTCACTCTCAGGGCCCCTGGGCCCCCAGGGAATCACCACCACACACCACTGTCTGTATCTGGGGGAAGGTCCGGGTTGTTGGAAACTTTAATCGAGCAAGGACCGTTAACAGCTGCAGAGGCACCTTAGGAAACAGTGAGCCTCAAAAAGGAAATACTTGTAGGATCTCTTGTGATGACCTTTGAAGACTTTTCTGAAAATGACCTATCGTTCCCTGCCATGGAAAATAACAGCAATCACAGGCAGCCTTCAGCCCACAGAAGGCTTTCTCCTCCAGGCAGGCTCTGATATAGCTGTTTGCCTCACAGATGCCCTAACAGACTGCAAATCCTGGGAACATGCATGTGCATGCATGCACAGGCACACATGTGCCTCTCTACAGATACATTGTTTTTTTTTTTTTGACAGAGTTTCCCTCTGTGGCCAGGCTGGAGTGCAGTGGTGCGATCTCGACTCACTGCAACCTCTGACTCCCTGATTCAAGTGATTCTCCTGCCTCAGCCTCCCGAGTAGCTGGGATTACAGGCATGCACTGCCACACCCAGCTAATTTTTGTATTTTTTTTAGTAGAGACGGGGTTTCACCATGTTGGCCAAGCTAGTCTTGAACTCCTGACCTCTTGATCTGCCCACCTCTGGATCACGAGGCATGAGCCACCAAAGTGCTTGTGTTACAGGCATGAGCCACCGCGCCCAGGCTACAGATACATTTTTGAGGTGACAGCCTCGTCTCAGTGGCCACTTCCTCTAGGGCTGGCTGGGCGGAGCTATTGGCAGAACTCTAGGGTCCCTGGCAGCGTCTCACCACACACCACCAATCATCCGAGCTGTTGGCATGCAATGAGGACCTTTACCCCCTTCCTTTTTCCTCCCCACAGCTGCAGGAGGGGGTTCTTCGGAGCGGATGCCACACTGCTTGGGCGAGTTCTTCCCACCCCCACACTATGTCTTGTTCCAGTTCCTATCCCTGATGTAGGCTGTTTTGGGGTTCTTATTAGGGGTCACATCCTGGTAAAAGAACATTAGGGAGTACCTTTGGACACCCCTGTTCAGCAGCCTCTTCTCCCCTTCTCTGGTTCCCTCTCTCCTCCATCAGCTAGGCCCCTATCACCTATGAGGGCCTCTCAGTCCCTGGGTCCTCTGCCTCAAATGCCCCTTTTTTCCTCAGGGACAGTGTTGGGACTTTTTAAAGGAAGAACTTTACTAGGAAAGTAGGAGGAAAACCAAAACCAAACCAAGAAAATGTCAAAACCTCTGCTGGTCCAGAGTCTGCGCTCGGCCTCTGGCTCTGCTCTGCTCCTCTGCCTTGCCTTTGCCTAGGAAGCTGCAGCCCTTCTTAAACCCTCTGCAACTCCCTTGCTCACCTGCTCCCTGGCTCCCCATGAGGGTGCCTGGGGGGAAGTGCTGCCACACACCTTTCCAGAGGTGCTGCAGTCGTGGCTGTTCCTCGCCTTGGCCTGTTCCTAAACCCACAGTTACTAGAAACCCCAGGATGATGAGTGACAGATGCAAACCAGGAGCCCCCAGTCTGATGGGGAGAATGGAGCCTCACCCTGGAGCTGGGGAGATCATCTGGATCAGTGCAGCTCCAGTTACACATCATAAGCCCCAGTGGACAAGGCAGCCGGGAGGAGGGTGGGGCAGAAAAGGGCAGATAACCAGGAGGACCAGTTTTGGGGCCCAGCATGGCCCACATGGGTCTAAGATGCATGGAGAAGCAGCACAGGCAGGACATGGGGACAGGCCCAGCCCCTACCCATGTGCTTTGGACCTCAGTGTCCCCTCTGTGGCCCCTCTGGCCCTGGCCCAGGGATTCCTTCTGCTTCATTGAGCCCATCTGTTTGAGACTTGCTCACATCTTCCTCTTTTGTGACTGGAAATCATAGGGCTAACTGCTTAGCGGTACAGTCACAGAGGTAACACAAAGCCTAGGTGTAAAGGGACAGAGAGGAGAGGGGCAAGGGAGGACGGTGGATGACAGGGAAGACGGGTGGGGGCAGAGCTGCTCGGGACCATGGCTGAGGCCATCACCTATGCGGATCTGAGGTTCGTGAAGGCTCCCCTGAAGAAGAGCAACTCCAGCCGGTTAGGACAGGGTAAGGGGGATGAGGGCTCCCCTTGATCCTGCATCCCCACTCCCTGCCCCACAGACCCCATTCCTGACTCCCACATCATTGGTCTCTATTCTCTTGTCTCCAGAACCAGGGGCTGATGAGGATGGGGAACTCACCTATGAGAATGTTCAAGTGCCCTCAGTCCCAGGGGTGCCCTTGAGCTTGGCTTCTTCTGGACTAGGGGACAAAGCAGGTCTGGAGATCCTGGGGGATGTATGTTTGTTGCAGGGGATGTGTTTGTTGAGGGGCTGTGTCTTGAGTTGGGGAGTCCACAATGTTGTTGTTGAGACAGGGTCTTGCTCTGTCACTCAGGCTGGAGTACAGTGGTGTGATCATGGCTCACTGCGGCCTCGATATCCTGGGCTCAATTGATCCTCTGCCCTAGCCTCCCAAAGTGTTGGGATTGCAGGTCCATAGTATTCTTGAGAGCTCAATACCCTGGGGGAAAGGAGGAGGCCGGTTGGTAGGAAAGAGAAGAATAGGAACAGGATAAATGGGAGCCAGGAGAGGAAGAAAGATTCCTTCAGCAAGGTGGAGACCCCAGGGCAGCCCTGGGGAGGGATGAGTTCTAATGGGAAATGGGGAGCCATGGGAGGGAAAAGAGGGAATGGGAGAGGTATGAGAGCAATGGGGGAGAGGGATTGGAGCTGAAAATAAGGGGCCACTGAGGAAACAATAAAGGGAGAACTAGGAGAGATGAGGGAGTCCCGGGACTGTGAAACCCAGGAGGGAGCCGAGAGAGCCCCGGGCAGACCAGGAACTCAGGAGAGTGACGGAGTGTCCCAGAGCAACTCTAGCGGGCTGGAGTTTCCCAGTGGCGAGGACGAAAAGCGGGTGCGCAGGAGGAAAAGGAGCAATACTCGAGGCGTCCTGTCTCACACTGGATGCTCCCCTCGACAGCGGTCAAGTCCGAGCAGCCAACAGCTTCCTGGAGTGCCGTGACGTCATTGGCGGTCGGGCGGATTCTCCCCTGTGAGTGTGTGTGCTGGGCGGCCTCGGGGACTATGGATGGCTCTGGGCCCCGCGGGGTGCAGCTCTTGCCGGGTTGAACCCTTCCAGGGCAGAACTGCGCCCCAGCAGAACCCCGCCCTGGCTGAACCCCTCCCTGGCTGCCTTGCGCCATTTACCTCCATCCCAGTGCGCCAGAATCCGACGTGCACCGCCGCCCCCTTGGATGGTCCCAATTCACCTACCTCCCCACCCTTCTCCTCTCTCCCTCTCTCCATCTGATATTTCCTTCCCCTTCTCCCAGGTAATGTCCCCGAATCCTTACCAGCTCTGATTCTGCAACACCTTCTCCCCTACATGCGAAACTCCCTGCTACCCAACAGAAACCACCATGCTTGCCCCCTCAGCTCTGCACCGCCCTCCTCTAGGGATGCCTTCCCCAGGAATCTCCCCTACGCACCCATCCACTAGTCTCTACTTTCTTTCCCGGGGCTGACTGCCCGCATCCATCCCACTGTCCCCCTAAGGCCGCACAGCCTGCCTGCCATACCTCCTGCTTGGCCTGCTCCTCACCTGCCTGCTGTTAGGAGTGGCTGCCATCTGCCTGGGAGTGCGCTGTGAGTAAGGCTGTCCCCACACCGTCCCCACTTCCCACTTACACCGAAGGACTTTCATCCCGACTCCCTCCCCAAAGCTGACCCACAAACCAAAGCTGACCCCCAAACCAGGGCTCATCATCACTACCACCACATGCTTAGCTTTAAGTTTGGTTTCCAGCCAGGTCTGTTGTCTTCCTGAATCGTCCTCACCTACTCCAGTACCTCCTTAAGTTTTAGGCAGTCAAATCTCGTATTTCAGCCTGTAATGTAAAAAGTTGCAAGAAGCAGAAAAAGGGCTGATGCTGCAGTCTCAGGGCACTAGGGCAGGGCTGGAGAAGACGTCCTCCAAATCTCTGTGGCCAAACAGATCTGCAGGTGTCTCAGCAGCTCCAGCAGATGAACAGGGTTCTGGAAGCCACTAACAGCAGCCTGAGGCAGCAGCTCCACCTTAAGATAACTCAGCTGGAACAGAGGGCAGAGGATCTGCAGGGGTCCAGGAGAGATCTGGTACAGAGTCAGGAAGCACTACAGGAAGAACAGAGGGCCCATCAGGAGGCCCAAGGGCAGCTCCAGGCCTGCCAGGCAGACAAAGAGAAGACGAAGGAGACCTTGCGAAGTGAGGAGGAGCAGAGGAGGGCCTTGGAGCAGAAGCTGAGCAACATGGAGAACAGACTGAAGCCCTTCTTCACATGCCACTCATCAGGTATCCGCTCTGGGGAGAGGAGAGATGGGAGGGATGGATTGGAGCGAGGAGATACTAGTGGCAGGGGTCTGTCTATCACAGTGGGCTGTGAGCTGTTCAGGAAAGGGACAGTGAACCAGAGTGGTGGCTGACATAAGCTGTCCAGCCTTGGCCAACAGAGAGAAGGACCAAGCTGCATACTGGATTTAGGGGGACCCACCCAGTTCCAAGGCATTCTGTGGGAGAGAGGAGGATGGCACCAGCAGTCCAAATCACAGTGTCCAAGGTTTCATTTGGCTGACATCAGTGACAAGGATCTGGGAACACTAGACTTGGCTGTTTGTACATCTTTCTAAAGACAGGGTCCTCAGCTTTAATTAATTTTCGTTATAGCTGAGATCCCCCCCAAAGGGTAAGACTTAATGACTGACATGGAATGCAACCTGGTGGTGGGACAAGGCAGTGAAGCTCTCAGCACTCACAGTAAGGTGGAGCCGGGAGTTGTGGTGTTGGAACTAGGATGGGGTGTCCATTTGTTTTGAAAGCAGGACCCTAGCCAGTAGGTGGAGATGGCGAAGGAGACACATAAAAGGGGCAAGGATGTGTCAAAGCAGGCTGAGAGTCTAGGCAAGGTGCCAGGCCCAAGGGGAGTGGGATATTTTGGGCTATGGTCAGGTTTAGGCTCTGTCTAGCTAGGGTGTCCCCCCCAGGCATAAGACAGCAAGATTATGTGCAGACACCCCTTGCCCTCATTTCCTTAGCCTTACCCACTGTGACCATCAGTTCCATGCCAGGGCTGCCCATTCTCATAGCTGCACCTTAGACCTCTATGTCCCAAACTGCTCTTCTGGCAAAATAATGGTTTCAGACTTCCACTCTGATCACAGCTGCCTGGAGGAGGCACCACTCCTGCAGGCTTTCCCTACACATTAAAAAAAAAAATCTCATTGAGGCCTCCAGTCTGCTGACTCCTCTTTTTCTCCCTTCACTTCAGCCGTCTCCTGTCCACACTTCTCTCACTACCCATCTTGGATTTGGAGTTCATCACTTCAACTACTCACTTATTTTTTAAAGGACTGACAGAGTCTCACTATGTTTCCCTGACTGATCTTGAACTCCTGGGCTCAAACAATCCTCCTGCCTCAGACCCTCAAAGTGCTGAGATTACAGGCGTGAGCCACCACACCTGGCTCACTCACTTCTTTGTTCCATTATTCTTCTAGTGTACTTGATGGGCAAAATCTCAACTCTGTATGAACCCAACTGCCCATGGTCAGCACCAAGGTGTGACAAATTGTATAATCATTTTGCTTGGTGCCACCGAGACTCTAGTCTCTCAGCACTGCCTGGTGACATCTGCCGTCGTCAGTTTGCTCTTCACAACTCCTTTTCCGACTATCTTCCCCCTCACTTTCAGCAGATGCCCTCATCTTCCACTCTTTCAGAGAGGAATTCCCTCCACTTTCCATGACCAAGTCTGTATATCCATTTGCATTTTTACCCATCCTCATCTTTTGCAAGGATACCTGCAACAGCTTTCTAAATATTTTTTCTACTCATCCCTCTCCCCAACGTCCATTCTTCATATTGGAGCCAGAGTAAACCTTTACAAACAAAAATCTGATCATGTTATCCCAATCTAGAGTATTCCAGTTAATTGATTACAAAAACAGTTATGGAATACATAACACGTAATATGTTCTAGCACTGTGCCCAGGCACTTGGGATATAGCTAGTGAACAAAATTCCTGTACATAAAACCCTATACTGACTTTCTCTTCCTCATAATATAAAAATAAAAATCCTTAACATGGCTTCCAACACTCCTGCCTACCTTTCAGTGTGCCCCTTTTCCCCTCACCCTATTCCATTTGCCCACAAGGATTTCTTTCTTTCTTTGCTTTCTTTTTTTTTGGAGGTGGAGTCTCGCTCTGTCACCCAGGCTGGAGTGCAGTGGCATGATCTCGGCTCAATGTGACCTCTGCCTCCTGGGTTCAAGTGATCCTTTAGTAGAGATGGGGTTTCACCATGTTGACCAGGCTGGTCTCAAACTCCTGACCTCAGGTGATCCATCTGCCTTGGCCTCCCAAAGTGCTGGGATTACAGGTGTGAACCACCGTACCTGGAAGGGATTTATTTTTTATTCCTTCACGTTGCCATAACCTGGAAGGGATTTATTTTTTATTCCTTTACGTTGCCATAGGACAGTAGTTCAAGGGAGTAGCAGGGTGGGACATGAGGATATGTAGAGAAAAGAGAGGGAGCTAGTGGAGAGGGAATGATTTTTGAGTGATGGAGGTAGGACTGATGGAACAAAGCAATGGAAAGAGGTGGCCTGGGATCAGGAGTGCAGATTGGGATGTGGGATGTTGAAGAAAGAGGGATATTTATTTCTTACGGATAGTCAGGAAAAGAACAGAGGAGAAAATTTGAGGTGGAGAGGAGGGAAATGGAGAGAGCTCAGTTTCTTCAAAACAGGACCCAATGTTGTCTGCTTGCAGGAAATTGTAGAGGGAAGGAGGGGGCCAGTGCTGGAGGAGTGGGAGTCTTGGATGTGCAATGGGGGTGCTTTAGGTAGTGGAGGAGATGAGCCCAAGAGATGTTAGGTAAAGTGTCAGGGTGGACTGCAATTGTTCAAAAATTGGGGTAATAACATTAGCCCTATTAGGACAAACCTCCCAGATTGTTAAGAAGTAATGTTGTTGAATGTTAAAGTCTTTTTACTAAGTATACATAGGTATGGTGTTTCCAGGGGATGCAAAAGTAAGATTGTAAAGATCATAGAAGTCCATGAAGGTGTTGAGATTAGGCCTAGGGGAATATTGTTAGTAACCAGATTGCTGAGTAGTCACTTTCATCCCAAGTGTTGCTGCTGTCACACTCTTTCTGCTTTTTAGACACCTGCTGTCCGATGGGATGGATACTGTATCAAAAAAGTTGCTTTTACAACTCACTTACTCAGAAAAGTTGGGAGGAGAGCCAAAGACATTGTGAAACTCTGTCTTCCAAGCTGGCCACATTCAGAGGAATTTATCCAGAATCAGTAAGCATATCCTTACTTACAGACTGTAGTGGGTACTATTAGGTCAAGGGACATATGTCATCAAGTCAGGAATGGCACTGCACACATGGCTGGGGTGGGCATTCCTTTTCCATGGCAGAAACTGAGAATCACAATACTCTTTACCTCCCAGCTTGGAAACAAGCTCTGCATCTTTTCAGCACAGTGGTCCACGCAGCCCCTACTAACTGATAAGAGTTGGCATGAGAGCAGAAACTTATGAACCATCTCTACATTTTTTTTTTTGAGATGGAGTCTTGCTCTGTCACCCAGGCTGGAGTGCAGTGGCGTGATCTCAGCTCACTGCAACCCCGCCTCCCAGGTTCAAGTGATTCTCCTGTCTCAGGCTCCCAAGCAGCTGGGATTACAGGTACCCGCCACCAAACCCAGCTAATTTTTGTATTTTTTAGTAGGGATGGGGTTTCACCATATTGGTCAGGCTGGTCTTGAACTCCTGACCTCAGGTGATCCACCTGCCCCAGGGCTGGGATTACAGGTGTGATCCACTGTACCTGGTGTCTACTTTAATCTGTATCTCATCTCAGTTGTCTGGTCAGCAGCCTAGGCTGCTTGACAGGTTCCTTGACTCTTGTAGCCTCTCAAGCTGAGAGGTCCCATATTTGGTGGGCTGGATTGTAGGATTTGGTTCCTTGGGGTCAGAACAATACACAGAATGACTCCCCTCCAAAGGCTGGCAGAGATTCTTACCCAGCTGGGAGGCAAATTTAGCAGTGAGCCTGCATCTGCAGGGTGGCAACTGATGGATTCAGGGACAAGTCACCAAAGAGCTGTCATATATACAGCCCCCTTGCCAAAGCTGAGGCCTCCCTAGGGTGAACATTTTCTCCTGTATTTCTCATCACTCTCCACATATCTCTGGTCTCTCTGAATCTCCCCTCAGCGTTATTTCTGGAACTTAAGTCCGCTGTTGCCAAATCGTGATTCAGAGAATTCATACTGGATTGGCCTCAGCTCCAATAAGGATGGGAAGTTGACTGATGGTACACATCTCTCTAGGTAAGTTAGGATAGCTGGGTATTTTCAACTCCATGATCCCCTCCATAAAGATATGGTAATGAGATTTCCTCCCCACCACCTCCCCTTTGAATTCTTCCATAAATCAACACTGTAATTGCCTAATTTGTCTGTTTCTTCTAGTTGATTAATAACTTCTTAGGGTAATCTTATTCTTCATTCTATTTACATTACCTGTAAGTCCCTGGCACATGCTTTTTTGTTTCAGTAACTACTAGGTTGGGACCTATGCTATCTCACTTTTTAGGGGGAGATACTAAGGATTTAACTAAGGTTACACAGCTGATGACACTGGCATTCTAACTCTCCATCCCTTGATAATGCCACCCAAACTGAGGTTGTACTTTCTCAGTAGCGGCCACTTGTGGCACTAGAGCTGCGTCAGTGAAGTGAGCAAGGGAGCAGTGGGGTACCATTAAGGATCAACCCTAGGGACTCTACAACAGGCTGGCTACCTCCTTTTGTTCCCTAATTGGCCTTCCATCTTTAACACCTAGAGTGGTTTTTCCCTCCACTGGTCCTAAAGCCTCTTCTAGTTGAACTCCAGACATCTGTCCTGAACCATGCCCAGATGTGGCCTTAGGCAGGCAGGGTGAGTTAGGACTTAGGTTTTATGCAGGGAAAGGGGAGAGAAGGGAGGGTGGAATGGAAAGGGTCCAGAGTATATCCCAGCTCTACTTTACTACTTTTTAGGGTTTATGGTCAAAACTCAAAATGTCCCTTGGTAAAAATGTGGTCACCATCATACGCACTGCTGAATCAAGAGTCATGTACAACTTCTCTTCCCTCCATCTGTGAGATGACAGCTTTCAGGTTTCCAGATTGGGACAGCCCTTTGCACTGAGCTGGTATGAGTGAGGGATGGGGCCGAGGCATGGGGAGTCCTGGGGTAGAGGGACTTAGAGCAGGGGCCTAGGGGCCCAAGAGAAAACTTGTACCTGGGATGAAAAGTTCCTCCACAGCCTCCAGTTGCTTGGTCTGCTTATGTTAGGGTGGGGTGGGCAGGGAGAGGGGCAGGTAAAGCCTAGACTTATGGGAAGCTGATGATGTAGCTGGGAAAGAGGGTGAGCGGGATGAGGGTTCAGTTATAGTTAACTGATACTTTACTCTTCCAGACACATGCCAATAAGAACCTGTGCCCCTCCTTCCTAACCTGAGGCCTGTGGGGTCCTCCGACCATCTCCTCCCTGTGTTCCTGCCTTCTGGCAGTGCCCAGCCAAAAGCTGACACATGCCTGACACTTCTAGCCAGCCTGCTGTCTGTTCCCTCTTCCTGAAACTGGACTGTTCCTAGGAAAAGGGTGAAGCCACCTCTAGAAGGGACTTTGGCCCTTCCCGAAGAACCTCCCAGACTGGAATGGGGTGGGGGAGGAGGGCGTACGGGCTGAGCGGATAGGGGCGGCCCGGAGCCAGCCAGGCAGTTTTATTGAAATATTTTTAAATAATTGCACGTGTTAGTCTCATGTGTCAGCAATGCTGTGTCTGGTTCAGTGATCCCCACGGGAGCGCAAGCCCAGGGGTCGGACTGGAAGTGCTGTGTCCCTTGAGTCCATGCTGGGGCTCCCCTACATCGGGAGAAGAGCCGGTCAGCCCATCTGGGGCTGGCACTGTCCAGCAAGTGTGCTCTGTCCTCACAGGGTGTCCTGAAGGCCAAAGTGGGAGGCCTGAGACCAAAGGCTCCACTGCTAAGAGCGTGCCCCAGGCAGCTGCAGGCTGGGTGTGGGTGGCTTGGCGTGGTGCCCTCGGTGGCAGAGGAGACTGCCCGCCTCACAGTTCAGGTTGCGGTAGCGGGCAACAGCTGGTGTGGGGCGGGGGCACATGGACAAGAAGCCAAAGCTGAAGGGGCCGAGGCAGCAGCCAGGACAGGGCAGCCCCTCATCAGGCTCTCGGGGAGCTGAAGGGGGTGGCGAGGCTTCTGTCCGCTCCAGGGCTGCTGCCCGGGGCAGGCTATGCTGGGCCCGGTTCCAGGGCTCCCCAGCCCAGCCTTGTGGGGAGTGCACCACCACAGCTGGGGGGTTGTTATTGAGGGCGGGCCCTGATCTAGGGGACCAGGGTTGGGAGGCCGAGGAACAGGTGCTGATGAAGTTGTCTGTGGCCACAGCCAGAGGCAGCTGGGGTGCTGGACCTGGAGGTTCCGGCTCTGGGCTGCTGCCCTCACACTCCATCTTCTCTTCAGCTGAGGGGCCCACAGGGGGAGGGCCAGGACCTGGCAGTGCTGTCTCCATACGGCGGGGGAGCTCAGGGGATGAGGGTAGCGAGCGGCAGCGGCGGGCAGGTGTTCCAGGCTGGACCAGAGTCTCCGGAGTGGTCACCAAGGGCAGCTGAGTGGAGGGCAGTGGCGATGGTGGCACAAGAGGCAGGACTGGCTTGCTGGGTGTGTCCAAGAGCTTGATCTTGCCACCCCTGAGGTCTTCCCGTAGTGAGAAGGGGTTGACTCGAGTCAGATTGTCCCCCCAGTTGGGGGGTGATTCTGGTGATGGGGGCAGGAAGAGGTCTGACCGGCTTCGGGAAAGCCGGGGGTCTGGCCTGGGAAGCGTAGCAGAGGGACCCCCTCTTGGAACAAAGCCTGTAGACAGAGAAGTCTGGAATCACTGTCCTCAGCATTTAGGCAGGCAGGGTGAGTTCCTTGAGGGCCTCACTATTTTCCAGGAGGCTGGTGGGACTAGAGCTTGAAAAAGGGAGACCCACTGGGTGCTTTGGAAAGGGGCGATGTCACCTCCAGGCCCCCTTTACTTCTTTCCCTTCTCTTCCCTCAAGCTCTTAGCATTAGGACAGTCTTCTTTAAGATGTCCTCCTACCCTAGCCCAGCCCGATTCCCAGTCTTTCCAACTAATAAATACACCTAGCCTCCCTCATGTCATCCTGAGTTCTAAGGAGAAGAAAGGCCAAAGGACTTAAGCTGGGTCAAGGTCATGCTCTCTTACCCTGATTATGTGTCAGGCGAGTCCTGGTGAGTGGGGCTGGCTCAGGCAGCTGCTCCAGGATCCATTCTAGGTGCTGGGTAATTTCAGTGAAGGGGGCGCGGGTGCTGGGTTCCATCTGATGGGTAGAGATGGAAACGGCTTCACTCAGTGCTCCGAAAGAGGGTCTCTGAGTTTCCTCCCGTCACCTGGGTCCCATAGGGTAGCCATGGCAGCTTATGGATGGGGGCAGGGCAGGGCAGGAAGGAGAATGAGACTCTTACGCTGCAGCAGTGGATGGCCAGGAGCAGGAAAGGCAGTGGGCAGTCATCCCCCACCAGAGTTCGGAAAGCAGGCACATCCAAGCCAAAGTCCTGTGGGAACAGAAGGAGGGGCCTCCAAGTCAGCTTTCCTTGGGTTTTCTTTCTGCCCCCCAGTCAGAACCTCAACCTACAGGGAATCCTCCTTGGTTATGAGCTGCCTAGTCTGAAATTTTTCCTTTGCAAACCTAGAGACATTCACCTCAGTGCGTGGTAGGTAGTCAGGGTCCGCAGGTACTCGGGCAATGAGCTCACAGAGGACAATCCCGAAGGCAAAGACATCAGCCTGGGGGTCAGAGATAACAGTGTCGGGGGAGGAATTAACAGTTTTCATTTTAGAATTTTGACAGAATATAGCAGAATTTTGTTGGGGGTGGGGGACCTTGACAGTATTCATGTGTTGGAAGGGTGCCTGTGAGAGGCAAAGGGATCCTGGGGACTCCTGAAGATCTGGTAAAGTTGTTTTGGGGATGGATGAGGCCTTATGAGAACATCTCAAGGGTCCTGGAAGGCCTTGGGGATCTGAAGGGTTGATGTCTCACCTTCTCATCATACAGCTCACCCCGCAATACCTCTGGAGCCATCCAGTATGGGGAGCCCACCACGGCCAATGGCTCCTTCCTTGCCCCTTCCCTGCAGGGGCAGGGGCAGGGTGGTCAGAAACATCCTACTCAGGTATCCCCCCCCAGGCAAAAGAGGATGAAGTGAACTCCCTCCTCTCCCCCAAGGGAAACATCCCTGGGGATCTGGGGACATCAGATAGGGGCACTCTGGGAGAACTGGGGGAAATAGGGGCATTCACCTCACCTATACACAGGAATCTTTTCAGCCAGCCCGAAGTCACCCACGACAGCTGTGAAGCCTCCATCTTCCCGTCGGACTAGACAGTTCTGACACATACACATATAGTATCCCCATGCACACATCACCTTCTGCCCTCTGGTCTCCCAGTATATAACCCAAAGCCCTCTCACTCCAGCATAACTTCAACCCTCTCTGCTCTCCCAGTTTTCAAAGCACTTAAATATTGCAAAATCATCCAACACTCCAAATACAGGGTGCTACTCGGTCCCTCAGAACACTCCACTCACCCCGGTCCCCCAATATTCTCCAATGCCTTGCTGCTTCAACATCCTAATATATCTATTATCCACATCCCAACATCCAAAGGCCAGTTACAACCTAATAGTCTCAAGCCCTTTTTCATGCCTCCACCCACCCCACTAGCCTACCTTGGATGTGAGGTCGCGGTGAAATACACCTTTGGAGTGCAGGTACCGCAGGCCTCGGGCAATGTCCAGGGCCAGGTGGAGCCTTACCGGCCAGGATAGGGGTTCAGGGGAGCTGAGCAGCTGTTCCAACGTCCCCCCATTCATATACTGGCACATAGAAGGGGAATGAATGTCAGACTTCAGTCTGTATTCTAGGTCTTCTACTTATAACCTAGGGGATACTCCAGAGGATCGCAGAGGTCAGAAGGTATGATTGTACCCTAGGACCTCCCATCCATGTTCTAGGATTGCCTTGTTCAACTCAGCAGCCACTAGCTATGTGCAACAATTTAAATTTAAATAATTAAAAATTTTTTATTTAATCAAATTGACCCACAAAAAAATAATCTAAACAATTAAAATAATTTAAATTAACCACATGTGGCTAGTGACTACTGTATTGGACAGCATAGAGACACTTCCATCACTGCAGAAAATTCTACTGGACAGCACTGTTCTAGGGGATACAGAGAATAAGACCAGCTGAGGCCTTTTATATGTGGTTTGTCTAAAGGGAAGTTCAGGAAAGCCTCCCCTGGGAGGAGGTCCTACTGCTTCTCACTAGTCCCCCGTAGATCACCGAGGCTTGTTGACTCCCTTTATCCTTGGGGATAAAGGGGGTGGGGTGGGGGTCCGTCCTTTCCAGCCTATCCTCACCTCTGTAAGAGCGTGCAGCTGTCCCTGGTGCACACAGACCCCCATGAACCTGGAAGATGATGGGGAACACAGAACGGTAGGCTGTTAAGGGCCTCAGCTCCTCCTCAGTTCCACTTTTCCCACGGGATCTTTCCTTTTCTCTCCCGCCCAGCAAACTGCCCAGACAGGCTGGGGCCGCTCACCTTAGGATGTTGGGGTGCCGGAGTCGGTTCATCAACTGCACTTCCCGTAGTGTGTTGCCCCGGTTACTGGGGAGCTTGTTCATCTTCAGCACCATGACTTGCCCTGACTGTCGATGCCGAACCTGGGGGCGGGAGCGGCCGGCGAGGGCCGGGCAGGTCGGGCGGGTAGCCGGAGTCTGGACCCTCTTCCCCGCACTCCCGGCCCCACAGTTCCAGCCTCTGGTTGAAGGCTCGGTCCCGCCCCTCTGCCTCTCGGCTGGTCCTACCTTGTAGACCTCAGAGAAGAAGCCGGCCCCGATCTTCTCCGCGCAGTGGAAATCGTCCACACGCGCCAGGCTAGACACGGCGCTGCGGAGAGCCCGGTAGGAGGAGGGGCGGCCCCGGCCCGAGCCTCCGCCCGCGCCCCCCGGCCCCGGGGGCCCCTCCCCCGGCACGTCTCCAGGCCCGGGCCCAGGGCCCCGCAGTGGGGGCCGTTCCCCGGCCATGGCCGGGCCCCCAGCCCGGGCCTGCTTCACATGGCAGGGTCCCCGGGGCCCGGGCAGGCCGCGCTCGCCATGGGCGCCGGCCCAGCCCGATCCCGGGCGCCGGGACTCCCGCTCCCGCCCTGAGAATGGAAGATCCGCCGAAGATCCTGGACCCGCCCCCGCCGCGCCGGCTGGGCCCGGGGGGACGCCGCGCCGCTCCGCTCCGGGCCTGGGTTTGGGCCTGGGCCGGGCGGTGGCGGTGACGGTGGTGGCGACGGTGGCGGCGGCGCTCCCGGGCGGGCTCGCCGCGGGCGGAGGCGGGCAGGCGGGCGGGCGGCGGCTGCTCTGCTTAGCCGGCGGGGCTCAGGCTCCGCGGCCTGCCGGGGGCGGGGCTGGGCCGGGCCTCCGCTTAACTCCTTCAAGCCCGGCCTCCCGGCAGCGGCCACGCCCCCCAAGGTGCGCACCCCCACCTCCTGGCTCTCAGGTCGCGACGCCCTGTGGCGCCGGGGTCAAATAAGCTCAGGCCTGAACTTGAATAACGGAAAGGAATCAAGAGCCGATGGTGCGTACGCGAAGTTTAGCTGCCCAGGGAGTCCCCTCTCTCTTTCCTAGGTTACTGTCAGTTGAGGGTCGGGCTCAGAAACCTGCGGGATTCCTGGGCTCCAATAACCAGCGGGGCA